GGGTGACTTTCCAGTGCGACCCAGTAATACCGTTTTAAAATTCCAAATATTCTGTGGTCCCAGTACTCACTGTGGTACACAGCCCCAGCCAATGCAGACTTTAAATGTTGCAGTGTCAGAGACCAACAGTAAGGTGGCAGATATGCTGAGCTCCAACAGAAAAGAATCTTCATTGTTAGGGAACTTCAGAGAAGCGTTGTCATGGAGGATGGCCAAGGAGTGGAAAAGGGGTCACAAACCCTCCAGGAACCAATCAAGAAAGGGAGGAAAGTAGGAGAAAAGAGTAAAAAGTTTTGAGATCCATCAGAGAAGGAAATGTGCTAGACATCTGAAGACAATGGTGAAGCCAAAGAGGGATGCAGATTGTCCCATTAAACTGAGTCACAACATGTTTAAAGCAATGGCTCAAGCTCTACAGATTTTGGTAATAGCATGTTGCTCTAGTAGAAGAGCTGTGTTCTGGCAGCGTGCATGGAGAGAAGGAGCCAGTCTGCACTTGTATATTTTATCATTAAGCTAAGGCTGCATTTATAGAGTGGTCTTCATATGCATTAGTAGGCCAGTTAATTGAACCCCTGTTCACTGCACCTCGCTGGAGCAGGTATCTGAGCCAAGAATCACAAAATGCAGATCACTGGGTTATTGCTGTGGCCTAACTCTGAGCTCTCCCTGTTAGGCAGCATAAATAACTGTGGAATCAAACTAATTTATGTAACCTCAGTATTAATTCCATAAGGGAGATAGGCTGGGGAAGTGAACTTTCAGTTGTGTCAATCTTAGCAATAAAGAAAGGGCGAATTCATTTTCTCTCCACTCAGCTGTTATTTCCAGGCTAGTTAACATTCTGTGAGGCTAATTGCTTGCCAGTGATGTGAACATAATATAAACTAGCATTTTAATAACTACTGGATTTTTATACATGCTTCAATATTGTTTACTGATATTCAACATTTCTCATCTAGTGGCACTTACATGTCTGCCAGATTACATGCGTGCAGTAATTAGAAGAGCCTATATCAAGTCAAAAGGCTATTTTTCATGGAATGTTCACTTGAATGACCCAGCTTGTAGACCTATTGTTACAAAATCCCATGTTATATTCCATATACCTTATGATGGCTGTGGTACAAAAAGTGAGGTAAGAGTTTACATCTGAAAATACTGTATATCAAAATAACTTGTTAAAATTACTTATTAATGAAAAGTTGTCAGAATAACTCTGTGCTTTTAAGTTTCAGAGTAGCAGCCGTGTTAGTCTGTAGTCGCAAAAAGAAAAGGAGTACTAGTGGCACCTTAGAGACTAACCAATTTATTTGAGCATAAGCTTTTGTGAGCTACAGCTCATTTCATCGGATGCATTCAGTGGAAAATACAGTGAGGAGATTTATATACACACAGAACATGAAAAAATGGGTGTTATCATACACACTGTAAGGAGAGTGCTTTTAAGATTCCTAAAAGATTCTCAATGGGAAGAAAACACTGTAATATTTATATCACCATGTAGTTTTGTGAGATGCAACACTTGGGGGATTGATCTGGGGACCTCTGGAGCTGAAAAAATGAGCAGCTACAACTGGAGCTAAAGAGCCAAAGTTCCTTAGCCAGCTTTGTGATAGACATATCCTCTATAAATTAGGCATAGAAGCACCACTAACACACCTACACAGAATTAAGTTTATTGTAAACATAACTCAAAGGAAACATTCAAGGGTCCAGTCCTGATCCAGATGAAATTTGTGGCTAAACTACTGACTTTAGGGGAAGCACACTCAGACTTCCTTTCCCCACATTTTTGCTTTAGGATTTGTTGGGTTCTGGATGGTTTAAGGATTGGGTAGGGTGCTGGCTGCTTATTTTGGACAATTAAAGAGAGAAGGTGGGTGAGATAATATCTTTTATCGGACCAACTTCTGTTGGTGAGAGAGAAAAGCTTTCGAGCCACACAGAGCTCTTCACTGAACTTGGTCCAATAAAAGATATTACTTCACCCACCTTGTGTCTCTAATATTCTGGGACCAACATGACTATAACTACGTTGCATATTTTTGACAATGTCTTTTCCTTTGTTCTGTGGAAGCAGTATGTGTCATGTTCAATAATGCACTTGGGCCTGGAGACTTTAGAAATCCTGTTTTCTTGAGTTAAAAGAGAACGAGGTGCCTAGCCTTGTGCTGGATTTCTCCCACTGCAGTACCTAGCAAAGAAAATCATGAGGTTCACCAAAGATCCCAAAGGTCCAGTACACAGAGTATCATCTTATGTGCAGCACCATACAACTGCTGGAAGAGTACAGTAGGGCATATAAGAATTCTAGGCACAATGGCTGCCACAGTTCATCAAGAAAATTGTGATCCCATTACAACATACATATAGATACCATGGCTGGCCTATCTTTTGTTAGGTTGTCTGTGAGCTTACACCACTGAGGACCCATATAGCTACTTCCCTATCTACCTCCCTATGCTGACACCAGGTTCAAACCTGCAGACATTAATCATGCAAGATTCCCACTGAGATCATTTGGAGTCCTGTACGTGATTTTTATGTCCAATCAACACAATAGTGGCTTCACACAATGTTGAAGAAAATGGAAACTAAATTATGGCCAAAACATACCAACAGATTAAAACCTCCCACCCTTCTTTGACCTAGAAAGGAAACAAGACCAACAAAAGTTACAGATGAGAAATGCATATTAGATCATTCAGTCCATCTCTCGTCCTAGGCACACTTGTCTCCTACAGTATTTTTTCCAGTGTTTTGCCCAGTCTAGTTTAAATATTCCACACAATGGGTCTTCCTTCACAAGCCTCAAGAGGCATACCCTAATACATTTTACCATCAAGACATTTTTTCTTGATATTCAGACTAAATTTTCCCTCTGTTAATTCCGTGCAAGACCAATGATCTAGCACAGGAGTTCTCAAACTTCATTGCACCGTGACCCCCTTCTGACAACAAAAATTACTACATGACCCCAACATGGGGGAACCAAAGCCTGAGCTCATCTGAACCCCACCATCTTGTGGGGGAGCCCAAGCCTCACTGCCCTGGGCTGGGGGCGGCCAAAGCCCAAGGGCTTCACTCCCAGGCAGCAGGGCCTGTAACCTGAGCCCTACCACCCAGCAAGTCTAACACCAACCCTGGATACCCAATTAAAATGGGGTTATGACCCACTTTGGGGTCCCGACCCACAGTTTGAGAACTGCTGATCTAGTATAAAAGGTCATCTAAAAATATTCAAGCTGAAACCACTTTTTCACCTGTACTCAAACAATTCACTGCTGGCTCATCTGACTTTTGGATAACTTGTAGTGCATTACAGCTATCTAGGTTGTAATATTTCAACAAGACCTTTGAAGCACTGTACTGTGTATTTTATTTAATGTTTTAACAGGTACGTAATGGGACTATCAACTATTCCAACACAGTCAGAGCATCCACTTCTGGTAATTTCATCACCAGGGCAAAGAGTCCTCAGTTACATTTCACCTGCAGAATGGACCAGAGCATGATAGCAGACATCATGCACATAGTTAATGAGTCTGACTCTTTAGAAACTGATGAAACTCAGTATGGATGATTCAATGTGAAACTTTCCTTTTATGAATCACCATCTTTTTCAAGCCCCGTGAATGATTTCCCAAACTTTGTTGGCCTAAACCAGGACTTATACATTCAAGCCACTCTCTACAGCCCTGATCCAAATTTGATGTTGTTTATAGACACATGTGTAGCATCTCCTGATTCCTATGACTTTACAACGGTGAAATATGATTTAATCAAGAGAGGGTAAGGAAAATATTGAACTCACAGTTTAAAATGATTTTTTAAATGTAACTGACCTCATAGGGGACAACAGCAGGGTTTGAACCTCGGCCTCACCGACCTAAAAGCCTCTACCATTTTGAGGTAAAGGAATGTATATATTAGCTAGCTGCAGTAGCTTTTTGTATAACCCAGCCATTAAAAGGAACAAAGAATCACACTTTTCATAGTGTGGATTACATATAATCCCATGTATGTATTCTGCATATGGAAGGATTTGGAAAGAGAAACTAGTTTAAAATCTCTATAGAAGTTTCCCATCTCAGTAAAATAAATTGCAGGAATTGTGAAACAAAGGTTTGGGTTTCTCTTCTTTTGTTTTTTATTTTTAGAAAATCCAAATGGGAAATAAAAAATAACATTAGAAAGATAGCAAGGCTCTTTATCCATATTTTTGAAAGATGCTTTCCAAGAGTATTTTTAAAATTCCATTGCGTGTTTTCAAAATGTTTTTGCATTTATTTCATTATTTACACTCCATCTCTGTGTATTAGGAATTTCATATTGTAAATGTTTATTAACCTTGTTGTTTCAAATGCATGAAGGAAAGTTCCAGTCAAGTCAACTTATGATGCAACAAAAGTGTTTATTTTTATGTAGCACAAAGTCACATAGCATAATACAATCTCCATTATTATGCTGTGAGAACAGACTAATTTTATGTATTTTTTTCCTTTTCTCAGGTGTGTAAAAGATGATACCTACACTACTTACATTTCATCAAACAAAAAAATTGTTCAGTTCCAATTTAAAGCCTTTCAGTTTTTTAATGGATACTCTACAGTTTACCTCCAGTGCAAAGTGGTGGTGTGCAAGGTGTACGATTATTCTTCCCGATGCTATCAGGGCTGTGTAACTAGGAACAAGAGAGAGACAAGTTCTGGCCAGGAAAATGTGACCGTTGTTGGGCCACTTAAGCTGAAGTGAAAGAATCCCAGTAACTCAGATGGGTGTATTATCAATTTAACATGATGAAATTTCAATCGCTTTTACCGTCAAAAGGATTGATTCATTGCATGATTTCCTGCTGATGAGCTCTAGAAGCATTTTTACCAGTGTAGCAAATTCCTAACAAACATCCTTGCTTAGTGATGGTATACATCTGAATATGTTCCTTATCTGTCTTTACCATTCCCTAATTTCAAATCTGTTACATTTACTTCCTAGACAAATAAAAGCCTATAATTCTCTTCAATAAATAATTTTGGTTATAAAAATATAGGTGAACCAGATTGATTGATTTTCTGATCTAGACTTAGTGACAACAGAATCTTCTTGTGGCTATTCAAATTCCCCCCCTCCCCCTTTTTTTACATCATACTACCACTGAATAGCATGAGTGTTTATAGTTTAAGAACAATTATATAACTATATATTTATCTCAACTCACACTCATTCACAATGCAGTTGGGGAAAGGGTTGAGGTACAGGACCAGTTTATTATCACTTTGCTCTCAATAGTAATCATTTTGGTCCCTGCTGGACTTATTTTGAAAACCAAAGTGAGCAGAGATACATACCGAATGTGATCAGACGCAGAGGACCACAAGGCATCTATATATGGCACCAACGTGCAATATGATTCAAGCATCTAAATTGAAATAAATAAATAACTTAAGTTGGAGGAAAATAATGCCACAAATGTATTATGATAGGTTTCTGTAGTCAGTTTCCCTTGTTGCTGCTGATTAGAAAGACAGCTATTTTTAAATATAAATTCTCTGTTATAACCAGCTGCTTTATCCTTTTTCTGCTCTAGTAACTTCCATGATGTTAGAATCCAGTATTTATAGTCTCACCATTCTGTACTATAGAGGTGATTTTGAAGCTAAGCATACAGAATTGTCTTCTTTCGAAAGACTTAGTGCATCAGACAGGAAAAGCCTGATTATAAAGGAGAAATATTTTGTATAAACACAGTATCTTGATAGTCAATTGCAGAACTGCCTAAATAGTAAAATGGTTATACGAGAAGGGAGACTGACTAAAATTATGATGATTTACATAAGTTTGGAGAGCCTCTTAATGGTCAAGTTTCTAATTTAACTATATTCTAATTAATCAAATTAGTTATTATTTTATTTGGAATGAGAATGGTATTTACAACTCTGTATTTGATTTAAATCTGAATAGATTATATTTAGTCACCATGTTTAACATGCGAAAATGATCTCACCTTCAAATTATGTGCAATACCATGTGATGCAATAAAGCTTTTTCTTGCAACTTTTTGTCTTGAGCTTCATACTTGAAAAGATGAAAATAGAAGCATCTGTGTTTATACTTATTAAAGATAGAATAAATGCATTATGATGCTTGAAAATTATGGAGATGGACACATTAAAATTGCTTAAAGAGAGAGAGACATTATATAGCATATCACTTTATGGAGAACATAGTTCTAAGACTGCCTCTAATGTAAGAGATTTGTTCAGATCTGTTACTTATTTTAAAGGAAGTAAATAAAAACTTGCTGTCCTGAAACAATGCAATGCTGTTGGCTTGAAAGAATATTTCAATCGTAATATTTAAATAAATTGTGCATGGGGCTGTCTATTAAGAGCACTTAGAAATTCAAATTTAATTGAATACAGCTGCTCACTTAAAGAGGTTTCACAAAAAAAATTATTAAACCTGTGCTTTGCATCTGCCGCCTTCTACATATAGTGAAGTACACTAGAACGTGCATCTATATAGCCCAAATTCACATATAACACGGTTGCGGCCATGGATCCCAAATTTAATTACTTTAATTGAAATTCATTTTAACACGGTACCATGCATGGATCCCAAATCCCGCGTTCTAGCAAGGGTCTGGTGTACTTAGATCTGACCTACATAGCCTAAAATCATTTGGGTCCTTTCTGCCACAAAGTCTTTCTCTGTCCTTGTGATACTCTAGGACAGGGATTGGCAAACTGTGGCACGCAGCCAGTCAGAGAAATCGGCTGACGGACTGGGATGGTTTGTTTATGGTTTGCCGGCATGGGCCCAGGGCTGTGCTGGTCGCCACTTCCCGCAGCCCCCATTGGCCTGGAACAGCGAACCGCAGCCAGTGGGAGCTGCCATCCGCCAAACCTGCTGATGCTACATGTAAACAAACTGTCCTGGCCCACCAGTGGATTTCCCTGATGGGCCATGGGCCAAAGGCTGCTGATCCCTGCTCTAGAAACTGCAATATCCTCAGGCACTTGAGCTAGTGATTCCCTGGTTTAAGTAGGAAGAGGGGCTGCTGGCAGGGTCTTCTCAGTGAAGCAACCTCAATTCTGGAACTGATCTCTACAGTACCTGGATGTGATGACCTTAAAGGCATACTGCAAGGCTCATCAGTTTTTCTTCGCATGAAGGAGCAGGGGGGGAGGAGGAGGAAAAAGAGGTGGTGGGGAGAAGAGAATGTAGGATAGGGTGGATACAGAACAGTCAATGGGGGCAGCTACTTAATAGCCACTGCCCACACCGACACTTAATTTTTTTCGTATTTATTTTAGAATTTGTACATTTTGGTTTCAAACATTTTAGATATTTGAATAGAATACATTAAATTAAGCTATTTGGAAATCAATTCTGTTCTACATGCTCTCAGATGGATGGGAATGAAGATTAACAAGTTAGACTAAAATTTAATATAAAGTATAAGCAGAAACTTGAGATGTGTAGCTATCTCTGTCCTTTTGAAATATAGCTTCTCATAGTTCATGAGTCGAATTCTATTCTATAAGTAAAAATGCTCATAATTAAAAAATACATCTCTATTTCTTCACAGAAAGGAGGACTGTCTGCTTCTCAAAAAGGAAGATATTGCCTTTATCTCTGTGAAGCCAGATGCGTGTAGAACATCTGTAGTCTCTGCCAATGCAGTAAACACTGGGTGAAGGAGGATTCTAAGCCACCTTTCTACCTTCCTGGTCCTGGAGCAACCATAATACTGTAGGGTCATTCCTCTGGTTCAGGATTGCCATAATGCAGCAGATCCTGTCCCATCAGACTCCCTATATAAAAGGGGACCCCCTTACATGCTTCTTTAGGGCAGTTTCTGCTACTACTGAGGTTCTGACCAATACTCTACATTAAATCCATCCAAGCAGTTGTGTGCTTGTTTTGAAATGAGCATCAATAGAAGAAGGTCTGTCATTTAGCCCATCGATAATAGTCAATCCACTTTCTGTACTGTGCTTCAGTTCAGCTTAAGATGCATCAGATAATGATTCTGAACTGGTGCGTTAGAAGTAAAAGGTGCCCTCTTATTATCCTTTAGCCAAAGAACTAAAAAACTAAAAACTAAACAAAAACTGAATTCTGTTTTTTAAATCTTCTAGTAATGGGTTGCAAATAAAACAAAACAATTAAGCTAATAAATAGAAAAGTTACAACTCACTTTATTTATAGCACGTATGTCATAGTTCAAGTGGAGGTTGACAAAATGTATTCCAAGTGGCTTTTTAGAAATATTTAACTAAATAAGCCACAAAAATACATACAAAATTTTTATACTTGTGAAAAATGATATTATTACAGATGTTTTATAACACTAACATTTAGTGTACAATACTGGGCAGAATTACAGTAACAAATGTAACAAACAACTTGGGGGTTTTATAATTAGTTTAATAAATATTAAGCTTTGTAAAGACATCAAAATAAATACTTGCCCCTGGAAAGTATTTATATTGGGGTCCTCTCTTTCAAATATTGTCTATCTCTCTCCATTTGAGAGTCCTTCTCCAGAGTCATAGTGTTCTTGTGACATTTTGTTCGTTTTGGAGTTTTGAACCATGTCCATTAACAGAACAACTTTAGTATCTATATGTTCCTGAAGTTTCTGCATACTTCGATCAATATAGTCCATTAGTTTTCTCTCCATCAGTTCCATATTTTTGGATATGACCTTTTCCAAGTAGGAGCAAATAGGCTGCTGTTCCCTTCTGCAAGAATGTAAATATAAATAATTAGTCATTCCTATTTTTAATATGGAGTCAGTGATCATGCTGGCTAACTGGCATAAATAGAGATCCCAGTGCCTCAAGGAAGGGCACTGAAGTTTTGAAGTATTATTGGGATTCTTCGAATACTTACTCAGAGGAGGTACTCTTGATGTTAAAGTCTAAATAATAAATACTTACACCTTTACTACACAGAAGGCCTAATTTTGTCCAAACACACACACACAGTGCAACATATATGATATACATCTGACTAATGTAAGTGCAAGATTTGTCCTATTTTACATTAGAATTTGTACATTTACTTGTACAACTAACCAAACAAAATACTTTCTGAAGTTTGTAAGAGTTAAGGTACTATGCTAATCTGTGTTTAATGTAATCTTAATATTTAAAATGGTAATTTTTTTGTATTTTTTGTTTAAGAAAAAAGATTAGCACACTAATCTGTACAAATTTTACTTTATGCTTCCATACCTGCATAGTGAGAAACAAAGTCAGGGAATTCTCAGAAGAATAGCAGCACAAAAGCCACACATCATATCCATATGACGGACTTACATTATTTATCATAGTATTTATGGGAGTACGAAATAGTGAAAAAAATGTTTGCAAAAAAATAAATAAATAAAATTGGCTTCCACTTGCAAAGTGACAAGAGTATTTATCGATTTGGACCAGCCAGTCACAAGTTTCAACTTTTTGCCATTTAGGGGTTGTGGTTTTTTTGTCCCCCCCCGCCCTTAAACACAATCTTTGTGTACGTATTTAAATGCAAGAGCTATCCTCCCCCCCCCTTTTAAATGTCTCAAAAATTAACAAATTTGTACTAAAACTTTCCAAGATATTCACCATACCCAAACCAGGGGATTGGAGGGAGGGGGAAAAAAAAACAAAAAACAAAAAAGAACCCCACTACCTTGCTAAATCACTTCCCACTTGTAACCAATGCAATGTGGTGTTTGTCAAGCTGCAACAGAGGGAAAGTTAGCTAGAGTTCTGTCATTTTTCAATACTGCTATTCAGAACCTAGTGGGCAGCAGTATCAATAAACTGATCATCTTCAGTCTGCTGATACTTGGGAAAGATATGAGCTTTAGCACAGGCAGACACTTGAGCTTTTCACTAGGTGGGAGGACCCGAAAAATGGAGACACCCCACTCATACAAGTTCTTGGAGAAACAGAATGAGAATGCACCTTTTGCCACTTAGCAGCCATAGAAGGTTTTGGAATAAAGGCTTCACATTTATCACATCTACTAGGCAGAGGCTCATAAATCAGAAATGGAGCCACCAAGCACAGTTCAAGTAGAATGCCCAGGTAAGGAATACCAGCGCTTTCCCCTTTCCTGGCAGCTGGAGAGGTCTGAATTCTCACCAGAGTGCTGCCACCTATAAAGCATTCCTTTTCCTTTCCACCATCTTTCATAGCTTTAGACTATTATGCATCTGGTAACATGGGAGAGAAAAAGTTAAAGATAAGTATACTATAGAGACTTTGGCAATACAAATGGAAAGAGAAAGATATAGGGGAGGAGGTAGAGTACATAATGTAGGTAAAGCAAGAATGTGATAAAGGGGAAGAAAAGAAAGACACCTAGAACACCACAGAAAAAGGTACACCATGATCTGCCACTGGAAAGAAACCAGGAATAGTATGAAGGTAATAATGAAAAATATTCTATTCAATACATTTCAAAATGCTGATTGACATGGTTAGTTAAATAGGAATTCATAGCTGTTATATTCCTTTAAATTGCAATGGTGGGGCTTTGTGGTGAGTGTCATCATGGCAGATTTTTTTTTTTTTTTTTTAAAAACCACTATTACCAACAAGGCACGGTCCACAGGCTAGGACAGGCTTGATACACGTACCCAACTTAACTTACCCAATAGTTTGAATGCCTTCCTCTTCATCCATTGTACTCTTCTCAAAATGCTTATTCCCATCGTCTAGCCGAAGATGATTTACTTGACCACATAAGTTTTGAAGAAAAGGAAGCAGCAGCCCAGAACTGGGCATATTTGGGTTTGCACTTGCTTGCTCTTGCATTAACGATGACAACATAACTTTAAAATCATTTCCAGGAAGAGGAGTGCTTTGTTGCATAGTTTTAAGTGTTTCAAGATCAGGAATATTCTCTCTACCAGGTATCCATGTGTTCATGCCAGTATGTGTTTTTAAATCTCCAAAAACTGTTTCAGTTGTCAAACAACTTTTAAAAGGAAAGGGTTCATCGGATGATTGGTCTAATCCTTTAAAAGCAGCTGCATTGTGCAATCCATCAACTGTATGCTTGTCTCCAAAGACAGATTCTCTTTTTCCAAAGATACATTGAAGTTTGTCTCTAAGAGGAAAACTGTTCTAATGGAAATAAGAAAGTGTACATATTTAATGTGTTATATTTTTAATATAAATCTACGGAAATAATAGCTGTGCCTCTTCCCCTCCCCCCAAAATGTGTAAGCATTCTGTAGCATTTTAGATAACGATAGAATTGCATTCCATTCTCACCAGTGTAAAGTTTACTCAGAATGAATGTGATATGAAAGCTTTATTAGAATGAAAGTTATGTACTGATAATTCTACAGAATAAAGAAATCATGTGAACGTGACTAACATTTGCAAGATGAAGGTTTAGAGTAGCTACAAATTTCGTTAGATTGAACTTCAATTATTGAAGCAGGAGTTGACTAAATTAGGGCTCCAATACCAAAGGTTACTCCGTGTGGGTGAGTGCAGGGGTCCGTACATATGCTTCTCTTCGCAGGATTGAGGCCTATATCCAATAGTTATTACTATAAGTACTTCCACTTTTATTTGGAGGAAACATTTTCTTGTAATGAAGATACAAGGGTTTTTTAAAAACAAAAAAACCCACTATACACACACCACACAATTCTCAATACAAAGTAGTGACAGCTCAGTTGTAACAAACTATTAAACTTATTATAATAGTCTGCCATCTCAAGTTCCAAGATCACTTTTTATCATTTTATTTTAGCAAGAAAGTTGTGACATTTTCCGTTTGGATGCAAATCTCAGGAGTTATCAATGTTTGGTTAGTTTAAGGCTGGATTTCTGCTACAAGTGGCTGATCCTTAAAAATCCTTGATATTTCAGTTGGCACAGAATGGGGCTGCACAGATACTAAATGCGATTTCCTGCAGGAAACACATTAACACCTCACATACTCAGTGATCTGCATTGACTAGTACCTAATTTTTAGTTGAATGGTGTAAGTTTTGTCCTAAAAAACCTGAAATGGGCAGACTGTTACTATAATACTACAGTTTTAAAAGGAACTGCCCGTAGCTGCAGATCTCAACCTAACAGCCCCCCTGTTTTAAATGGAGAGGGGAGGAAGGTTTGGTGGCATAATGTTTTTAGTGGGGAGTCTTCAACTCTAGAATTCAGTCAGTCAGCTTGGCTTGAGTGGCCTTCAGAGCATGTTGCAAGGCTCATCTACGTTCCCAGTCTTGTTACAGAGGTGGTGGCTGAATGAGGTTTGAAATAATAAGAAGTTTGTTTGGAGAGGTCTTTTTGATTGAATGAGTTTGGAATATGCGTGTAATACGGACACAAAACACAAAGTTCTGGATTCTGCGTTTTTATAAATTTAAATAAATGAAAAAAAAGTGTGGTAACTTGCCTTCTGCTGAAGTCGAACCATATTCATGAGCTGCTGAGCACCTGGAGATAACTTTGACCCAATGGATTCCACCATAGTTTGAATTCTGTCTAGATCTACGTTTGATCCTAATGAAGAAAGATCTGAGGCAGATTTTGCAGAAACTGATCTTACTTGTACTACAATTTTAGTTAGGAGTACTCTTTGTCTTTCACCAATGGAAAGCAGCTATTGAAAAACAAAGAAAAATAAATAAGATTTTAGAACAAAGTACTACTTTGGAAATTAAAAGGTGGAAAAGTGAGACCTGTTTAATAGACTTCAGACTGCTATTATTCTGAGTAGTACTCACATTGAAATAGAATATGAGTGCAGATCTGTTAGGCTCTTATCTTGCCAACACTTAAGCACGTTTAAACTTCATGCATGTGAATAGTCCCATTCAGTACAATGAGACTAATCACATATGTAAAGTTACAAATGTGCATGTTTGTGTACAATGAGAATTTTAGGCATTGATCCCACAAACATCTAGAATATGTCTATTTTACAAAATTAGGTGTTTCTTTAAGAGCATCTCCCCCCCCCCACACACACACACACGCACACACTTTAATAATGACATTTTTTATGTGGATTTGACATGAGAACCCTGGTATAAAAATCCACCTACATTTTTAAAGAGAATACTCAAACCACATCTTAGGTTGATGTAAACCTAACTATTATCATCTGAGTATCAGATAATGCAAAAAAAAAAAAAAAAAAATCACATAAGTAATAAAAAAAAGAATTTAAAAACATTTTGTGGAACTTCCTACCTTAATTCTACAAGAGGTTGTGGAGTACTCCAATTTAAGATATTTTTTGTATAAGGTAACCTTGTCATTTCTGTTAGAAAAAAAATAAATGAGAACTGAGAAGTCTCTATATGGTAAATGCTACATAAATGCATTCTACAGGAGCACAAAAATATCAGCTATTATATTCAGATAATGAGAAAAGAGCCGAGTGGGTCATCTTTTAACAGAATATTTTGGTTTGAACACTGAAATTCAGTCTGGATTTAATCATATGGCTGGCACACGCACACACACACACGTTCCTAGTTTTTTCATGCATGGTATCTATACGATTTTTTTTCCTAGTTTTGGCTTGACTGATTTGCTAATTTAAGAACCAGCCAGTCAAACAACATATCTGGCCAAACGTTGATGTACTGTAATTAAAATCTACCTCCTTTTAATTCCCCCCCGCCCACTCCACAGGCAAAAATCTTGCCAAGTATACGAGAAGAATCAATATTGACTTATTTATTTTCATTAAATTCTCTTTATATATGGCTCCAAAGAGAATAAAGTGATCCTAAATGGCTTTTAGGGATTACTACTGAGTTAAATACTTTATCTCACCGAAAACAGTAGCTGACAGCCTTAACCATCTGTTTGGCACAGACAACATAATGGCAATGTAAACCACTAATGTGCCTCAACAATGACATGGAGGGCCCACCTTGAAGGGTGAGAAGTGCAGTTTCTATGCCCATTCATTCCTTGGTCTCTGCTGAGACTGTCAAGGCTGCACAAATTGCGTTGGTGGTTTTTGTGATGTGGATATCTTACCACAAAAAACCTCAATTGAGACGAAACACCCAATGGATAGCAACATATTTTGTTCACTAAGACAGCTGGGCTACATTTAAGCCAACAGTCTAAAAGCAATATAATCCATCCCCAGCTCCCCCAAAACAGCCAGTTTCCTTTTCAAATGGATTTAATAAGCAAATATTAAACAAAGCCTACATAATGAAGACACTTACCTATCATTCTGGATGGTGCAGACATTCTGTCCCCTACCAGTTCCACAATACTCTTCTCCTACATATACTTCCATGTTTCTTGCCTCACTTACAATTCCAACACAGACTATTTGCTCAGATCCATGAGGATCACACTGCAGGTACAGTAAGCAGGGAGTTTCCTTTTCATCATTTAAACGTCTCTCCAAAACCAAAGAGTTCTCCCTAGAAATATAAGAAACATTCTGTTTAAGAAACTTAACTACATTTTATTTAACCTATGCTTTCCAGGTAACACTATAGTTTATAAAACAAACAAGAATTCCCCATTTAAAGTGATTCAGTTTTTAAGAGAACGGTTACATAATCTATACTTTTGTAACAGAAGTATTTACCACATTACTTTCAAAGCAGTATCCTTTAGGAAGAACAAACACTACAATTACAGGTTGTGTGTGTGTGGTGGGGGGGGGGGGGAGGGTATATTTATATCACATGTTTTACAAATTTCAAAACTTGCTGTGGATTCAGTCTGCAATGAAAATTAATGGCTGTGCCATATCTGAAGGAAGTTTTGCTCCCAAATACTGTTTTAAATGTTGGGGGGAGGGAGGAGGGGGCAGGGAACTTGTGCTATCAATATTTTTAGCTACACACACAGGGAGATCCCTACCCTGAAATACACTAATCAGTCCCAATGACGTGCTAGTTCTCACAGGCCATGTTCTGATAAGCATGGACACAAATCAGATGTCAAGAATTATAACATTCAAAAACCAGTCGGAGAACACTTCAATCTCTCTGGTCACTCGATTAGAGACCTAAAAGTCGCAATATTACAACAACAAAAAAACTTCAAACGAGACTCCAACGAGAGACTGCTGAATTGGAATTAATTTGCAAACTGGAAACCATTAAATTAGGCTTGAATAAAGACTGGGAGTGGATGTGTCATTACACAAAGTAAAACTATTTCCCCATGTTTATTTTTCCCCCGCTACTGTTCCTCACACATTCTTGTCAACTGCTGGAAATGGCCCATCTTGATTATCACTGCAAAAGGTTTCTCTCCTCTCCTGGTAATAGCTCACCTTAACTGATCACTCTCCTTATAGCGTGTATGGTAACACCCATTGTTTCATGTTCTCTGTGTATATAAAGTCAGCCTACTGTATTTTCCAGTGCATGCATCCGATGAAGTGGCTGTAGCCCACAAAAGCTTCTGCTCAAATAGATCTGTTAGTCTCTAAGGTGCCACAAGTACTCCTGTTCTTTTTGAGGATACAGACTAACACTGCTGCTACTCTGAAACTAATCAGGTCTAGTCACTTCTCTTTCCATTAAAAGAGACAGCAGCAGAGCAGTGTACCTATTGCACCGAGGGCAGAGTTGTAATCTCCCCGTGGTGGGGGAGGGGTGGTGGCGGAGGACAAATACACCTGCCCGGACACGGTGAACCTGAGTGAAGACTCACTGTGAGCATAGGCATCTATTCCGGCCTCAGTACAGAGCCTTGCACTAGGGAGAACAGCCCTGTAGCCAGGGCCCCACAGCCAGGGGGCAGGCATCAGAAACCGCCTTCAGGACCCCAGCCTGAGCCCATCGCACCCGGTCATAAATATAAAGTGAAGGGTAAACACCTTTAAATCCCTCTAGGCTAAACCTTAAGTTACAAAAAGACACAAAAACAGGAATATCCATTCCATTCAGCACAACTTATTTTATCAGCCATTTAAACAAAACAGAATCTAATGCATATCTAACTAGATTGCTTACTGACTTTTTACAGGAGTTCTTACCTGCATTCCTGCTCTGGTCCCGGCAAAAGCAAGACACGGACAGAGAGAACCCTTTGTTTCTCCCCCCCAACTCCAGCTTTGAAAGCATCTTGTCTCCTCATTGGTCATTTTGGTCAGGTGCCAGCGACGCTGTCTTAGCTTCTTAACCCGAGGAACATTGACATGGTGGCAGAGCGGTGGGATTAACTTGAAATCATTTTGAGATTTTTTGAACCAGAAGCACAGATTTTAAAAGGATTTTTTTTTTTCCTTTGGGCTGCTGGAAAGCAGGTTTTAAGCTGAAAGCAGTTAAGAGTTTTTTGTCTCTCCTTGGGGCCCAGAGCAGAGACAAAAGGGAATTGTCTTTTGTGAGCTGGAGTTTTCTCTACTTAAAGGCAGGGTAGTTAACCTCCTGCAGGGAAATTCACAAGTCTTCACAGACCTGAAAAGGTGGGGGTTTTTTTTTTGTTTTTTGGTTTTTTAGCTAAGAGCAACTGGAGGCTTTTTCTGTCTAATTTGCCTGGAGACAAAGGTGTTAGGTTTTTGTTTTTGTTTTTTAAGGATTTTTCTGTAGGCTGACAATCACTATCAGAGAACATAGGTATCCGGTTACAACAAAACCTATTTTTTTTTTTTAACAAGCCAAGTTTTTTGTTTGTGTGTTTTATTTCTAACTCTCGGGTGTAAAGTTAGTTAAAAACAGAGAGGCAAACATGACAGAAACCAAGGAAAAAGCCCAAGAGGCTGCCCACAGGAGAGCTATGGAGGCAAAGGAAAAAGAGAGGAAGCATGAGATGGAGAAGGCAAAGGCTGAGCGGAATCTACTGGATAACCCTAACGATCCTTCCCCAACAATCCACAAATGGGAGCGACTAGGTCCACAATGATGAATCCAGAGATATTGCTGAATATTTTCTCACCTTTGAGAGACTGTGCACTCTCCATAAAATTCCTGAAGCTCACAAGATGACCATATTGGTCACAAAATTAACTGGAAGAGCTCTGGACATATTCAATAAGATGCCTATTGATGAGGCTTCTGACTATACTAAGTTCAAGGATTTGGTTTTAAAGAAATTTTCAAATTACATCTGAAACGTACAGAGTAAAATTTTGAACCCTTAAGAGAGGGCCTGGACTAAGTAATGTGGCTTATCTAAACCAGATGAAGGATCTGTTAGATAAATGGGTCCAAGGAAGGGGTGTCACTAGCTTTGACAGAATGTGTGATTTGATAGCTCAGGAGCAATTCCTGAATATGTCCAAGGAAGAAATAAACAGTGTTTATGCAATAAGGAAATGGACTCAGCAGAAAGTCTTGCTTCTTATGCTGATCGATACGAGCAGTCCCAGACTGCCAGAGAGGTGGGGCAAGCTGGAACAAAACGGGTGAAGGGAGGAGAGAGGAACAACCCTGGTCGCAGTTGGAGCGGATACCAGAAGGAACACCCTCAGACCACACCTTACTACCGGGGGCAGCCCAAGGCCCCAACAATACTCCAGAGACTTTATCGTCCTGCCACACCTTTCTCCAGCAACCCACCTCGCCCCAGTGACCCTTCAGCTGGACGATGTTTTAAATTTAACAAGCTGGGGCATGTAAAGGCCAACTGCCCCAAGAACCCCAACCGAGTACAGTTCATTGCACCGGAATCTCTCCAGAGGTCCTCAGGCCCAGATACCTCCCAGATACCCTCGAAGTGGAGGGAAACTGTGAGTGTGGGTGGGAAGAAGGTCACCGCTTGGAGGGTCACGAGAGCACAAGTGTCGGCTATCCATGCTTTCTTAGTGGACCCCAATTTAATCGACCCAGAGATTCAAGTGACACTTCAACTCTTCAAGTCCAACTCTTTCAATTTGCCTACAGACAAGTTGCCTGTCCAGTATAAGGCCTGGTCAGGAACATAGACTTTTACAGTATATGATGATTATCCCATCCCCATACTGTTGGGGGGAAGACTTGGCCAATCATGTGAAGCTAGCCAAGGGGGTGGGAATGGTCACCCGCAGCCAGGCTAAGCAAGCCGTCACGCCTAGCTCTGTTCCGGAAAACTTCTACCAGGACCCGGTCAGAGGTGATGGACCCGGACCCCAAGCCAACGTCTGCAACAGCAGTAGTGGATCCAGTCCCAGAGACCCAGACAGAGCCAGCCCCAGAACCGGAACCAGCGGAACAACCAGCACCAGACCCACTGCCAGCACTGAATCCAGTACTTGCAACCCCAACACCAGAGGGCCCCACCGAACCTGAACCGGCAGCAGCCGATAACCCTACACAAGAGGCTCAGCCGGAGCCTGAACCCCAACATAGTGCACCAGCGAAGAGCGGTTCACAGTCAATGGAAATAGCCCCATCCCCTACATCGCTTCCAGAGGGACCAAGCCTAGGTCCACAATCCAATGAGGAACTGATGTCTCCAGCATCAAGGAAACAGTTCCAGACTGAACAGGAAGCAGATGAACGCCTCCAGAGAGCTTGGACAGTGACACGGAGCAATCACCGCCTCTCTGCTCTTCTTTAATTTTTTGGATCGATTAGATTTGTCAGTTTACAGCCCAGGGAGGAGATGACGCTGAGTGGCCTAAAGGTGTCTACTACGAAGGCAAAAGTGCTGGTGGCGTGGAAGAGGTAAACCTCTCCATGACCCTTAGGCGTATGCAGCGACAGCAGATCAAGGAGCTGTGCACTAGCTACGTGCCAACATTCCCAGCCACCCCTGGACTGACTGAACGGGCATACCACTCCACTGACACAGGTAATGCTCACCCAATTAAAGTCCAACCTTACCAGGTGTCTCCTCAAGCTAAAACTGCTATAGAACGGGAGATCCAGGATATGTTACAGATGGGTGTAATCCGCCCCTCTGGCAGTGCGTGGCCATCTCCAGTGGTTCTAGTTCCCAAACCAGATGGGGAGATACGTTTTTGCGTGGACTACTGTAAGCTAAATGCTGTAACTCGCCCAGACAACTATCCAGTGCCACGCACAGATGAACTATTAGAGAAACAGGGACAGGCCTAGTTCATCTCTACCTTGGACTTAACCAAAGGGTACTGGCAGGTACCGCTAGATGAATCCGCCAAGGAAAAGTCAGCCTTCACCACATATGTCGGACTGTATGAATTTAAATGTACTCCCTTTCGGGCTGTGGAATGCACCCGCCACCTTCCAAAGACTTATAGATAGTCTCCTAGAGGAATTAGGAGACTATACAGTCACCTACCTTGACGATGTGGCCATATTTTCCGATTCCTGGGCAGAACACCTGGAACATCCACAAAAAGTCTTTGAGCGCATAAGGGAGGCAGGACTAACTCTTAAGGCTAAGAAGTGTCAAACAGACCTAAACAGAGTGACTTACCTTGGACACCAGGCGGGTCAAGGAACTATCAACCCCCTACAGGCCAAAGTGGATGCTATCCAAAAGTGGTCTGTCCCAAAGTCAAAAAAACAGGTGCAATCCTTCTTAGGCTTGGCCAGATATTACAGGTGATTTGTACCGCAATACAGCCAAATCACCGCCTCACTGACAGACCTAACCAAAAAGAAACAGCTAAATGCCGTTCAGTGGACCGAAGAGTGCCTGAAGGCCTTTAACCAGCTTAAGGCGAAACTCATGTCTGACCCTGTGCTAAGGGCCCCAGACTTTGACAAACCATTCCTAGTAACTACAGATGCGTCAGAGCACGGTGTGGGAGCAGTTTTAATGCAGAAAGGACCGGATCAAGAATTCCACCCTGTAATGTTTCTCAGCAAGAAGCTGTCTGAAAGGGAAAGCAACTGGTCAGTCAGTGAAAAAGAATGTTATGCCATTGTCTATGTTCTGGAAAAGCTACGCCCATACGTTTGGGGACAGCATTTCCACCTACAAACCGACCATGCTACGCTACAGTGGCTTCATACCGCCATGGGAAATAACAAAAAACATATTCGGTGGAGTTCAGCTCTCCAAGATTTTAATTTCGACATCCAACACATCTCAGGAGCTTCTAACGAAGTGGCTGATGCACTCTCCCGTGAAAATTTCCCAGAATCAACTGTTTAAAATTGTCCTTGAGATGTGAAAAATATTGTTAGTCTTTATATACTTGGTAGTATATTTAAAGGTGCATGTGTCTTATTCACTCTGTTTTCTCCTAGAGCTCCAGAAAGAAATCACAGCCCGTGTTTCACCCTATCTGTGATTTGGGGGGCGTGTCATAAATATAAAGGGAAGGGTAAACACCTTTAAATCCCTCCTGGTCAGAAGAAAAACCCTTTCACCTGTAAAGGGTTAAGAAGCTAAGACAACGTCGCTGGCACCTGACCAAAATAACCAATGAGGAGACAAGATACTTTCAAAGCTAGAGGGAGGTGGAAGAAACAAAGGGTTCTCTCTGTCTATGTGTTGCTTTTGCCAGGACCAGAGCAGGAATGCAGGTCAGAACTCCTGTAAAGAGTTAGTAAGCAATCTAGTTAGATATGTGTTAGATTCGGTTTTGTTTAAATGGCTGATAAAATAAGTTGTGCTGAATGGAATGGATATTCCTGTTTTTGTGTCTTTTTGTAATTTAAGGTTTAGCCTAAAGGGATTTTCTGTTTTAAATCGGATTACCCTGTAAGGTATTTACCATCCTGATTTTACAAAGGTGATTCTTTTACTTTTTCTTCAATTAAAATTCTTCTTTTAAGAACCTGATTGCTTTTTCATTGTTCTTAAAATCGAAGGGTTTGGGTCTGTGTTCACCTGTGCAAAGTGGTGAGGATATTTATCAAGCCTTCTTCAGGAAAGGGGGTGTAGGGCTTCAGGGGGGGAAAGACGTTTCCAAGTGGGCTCTTTCCCGGTTATATTTGTTAGACGCTTCATGGTTGCAGCAATAAGGTCCAGGGGCAAAAGGTAAAATAGTTTGTACCTTGGGGAAGTTTTAACCTAAGCTGATAAAAGTTAGCTTAGGAGGTTTTCATGCAGGTCCCCACATCTGTACCCTAGAGTTCAGCGTGGGGAAGGAACCTTGACACACCCCAAGGCGAGGGTATGGGGGGGGGGGAAGAGTCCTCAGGACTCCATGCGAGAGAAGAGGTTCAGATCCACACCCCGCCCGGGATCCGGATCAAGCCTCCACTTCCCCGCAGGCGTGTAGGGGCCTGTGTTCCCGGGCGTTCCCTACCCGTTCTCAGGCGGCGCCAGCGCCTCGCCGTCACTGGCTCCCTCGGGAAGGAGACGCAGGGTGTCCGCCAGGCCCCCGGGAGACGAGGGGGAAGCGCAGTCCCAGGAGCAGCCGGCAGCGATGCGGGGGTGCCGGAGGGGGCCACTGGCGCTGCGGCGGCCAGCCTCGGTTGCCGCAACGCCCGCCAGGCTGCCGCTCGCCATCGCAACCGTCCCGCTCGAGGCCAACAGTCCCCTTCCGCGCCGGCCAGAAATAACCAGAACATGCTCCCCACCGGACACCGTTCCCGCTGGAACGCCCGCCTTTCAACGGTCACGGGGCATTCCGGCCCAGCTGCTGATTGGCTCGCAACCTTCCCGTTCTGCCCCATCCCCAGAGCGCCTCAGGCGTCTCAGCTGCTGGGTGGCGCGCGCGCGCAGAGTGGCAGTGGCGCTCGCTTCCGCTTCCGCTTCCGTGCTTAGCTTCTGAGCAAGCGCGCGCTAGGGCCAGGGCGGCGGTGGTTGCGTGTGACGCGGCCTGAGGGAAGGTAGCTGCCGGCCCAGGTAGCGCGTGGCTTGCAGCTGCGTCCTGCGCTGGGCCCGTTACCAGTCAGAAGAGCTGTTGGGTGGAAACTGTACAGCCCGAGCCCCATTCCGTGGAAGGCCCCTTAGTGCGAGCAGCGACGGCCTCAGCCCCACGTTCCCCTTCAAGGGGGCTGCGCTCCTTCCCGGGGAATAGGCCCGGCCCAGGGGGGACGTGACCATGCGTGGTGCTCCTGCCTTGCACCCTGAAGGCCTCCTGCACACACCGTGAATACCTTGTGCCGTTCTGGTCGCCTTAGCTCAGAAAAAGATATATTAGCATTGGAAAAGGTACAGAGAGGGGCAACCAATAATTAGGGTTATGGAACAGCTTTCATAGGAGGAGAGATTAAAAAAATTGGGAAAGAGATTGCAAAGGGGTGGGGGGGTGATCGAGGTCTGTAAATCATGCCTGGTGTGGAAAAAGTGATGAAGCATTACTTAACCTCTTCATATAACACAAGAACTAGGGGATACCCAATAAAATTAATAGGCAGCAGGTTTTTAAAAACAGAAGGAAGTATTCCACACAATGAACAGTCAAGCTGTGGAACTCTTTGCCAGAGGATGTTGTGACAGCCAAGATGATAGGGTTAAAGAAAGAACTAGATATGGTCATTGAGGATAGGTCCATCAATGACTATTAGCCAGGATGGGCAGGAATGGTGTCTCTAGCCTTTTTGACAGAACCTGGGAATGGCTGACAGGACTGATGATTACCTGTTCTGTTCATTCCCATTGAAGCACCTGCCATTTGCTGCTATTGGAAGATAGGATAGTGGGCAAGATGGATCTTTGACCTGACCCAGTTTGGCCAGTCTTATATACTTTTCTCCTAGTCCCTGCAAGGTTTTCTCTGTGGTTTCACCACTGGTGGCTGGATTGTGGGGGCCCTGTCTGTAACATGCTGTGAGAGATGGTGGGGGGAGGGAATGAGGGCCTAGGGCATATGAATCATCCTGAGAAATCAGACTAGATGTAGATAAATGAGTGTGAGATATCTGTGCTTGTGGTGAACTCTGTGACAGATTGGTTAGGTTGCAATGAGCTTGTGAGGTCAAGAGCAAATGGATGGGTGTTTATAATAAGGCATTCCTCCCTTTTCCTAAAAAGAAAAGGAGTACTTGTGGCACCTTAGAGACTAACCAATTTATTTGAGCATGAGCTTTCGTGAGCTACAGCTCACTTCATCGGATGCATACCGTGGAAACTGCAGAAGACATATACACACAGAGACCATGAAACAATACCTTCTCCCACCCCACTGTCCTGCTGGTAATAGCTTATCTAAAGTGATCATCAAGTTGGGCCATTTCCAGCACAAATCCAGGTTTTCTCACCCTCCCCCCCCCCCCACACACACACACAAACTCACTCTCCTGCTGGTAATAGCCCATCCAAAGTGACCACTCTCTTCACAATGTGTATGATAATCAAGGTGGGCCATTTCCTGCACAAATCCAGGTTCTCTCACTCCCTCACTCCCATACACACACAAACTCACTCTCCTGCTGGTAATAGCTTATCTAAAGTGATAATCAAGGTGGGCCATTTCCAGCACAAATCCAGGTTTTCTCACCCCCACATCCCCATACACACACAAACTCACTCTCCTGCTGGTAATAGGTTTTTGGAGGGGGGTGAGAGAACCTGGATTTGTGCAGGAAATGGCCCACCTTGATTATCATACACATTGTGAAGAGAGTGGTCACTTTGGATGGGCTATTACCAGCAGGAGAGTGAGTTTGTGGGGGGGGGGGGGTGAGAAAACCTGGATTTGTGCTGGAAATGGCCCAACTTGATGATCACTTTAGATAAGCTATTACCAGCAGGACAGTGGGGTGGGAGAAGGTATTGTTTCATGGTCTCTGTGTGTATATAATGTCTTCTGCAGTTTCCACGGTATGCATCCGATGAAGTGAGCTGTAGCTCACGAAAGCTCATGCTCAAATAAATTGGTTAGTCTCTAAGATGCCACAAGTACTCCTTTTCTTTTTGCGAAGACAGACTAACACGGCTGTTACTCTGAAACCTCCCTTTTCCTGCCCTCCTCCTAGAAAAATCAGTGGTTATTTTTTCATAACAGCCATGTGAGGTAGATAAGTAAAGACGTGGAAAAGCTATTGGCTTGATCCTGCACTGTTGAAGTTGGAAGGGAATTTTGATGTTGATTTAACTTTGGAGCAGCATCAGAGCCTAAATACATAATGTGATAATAGTACACTTTTTCTGCTAAAAGAAAGAGTTGATTGCTGACTGGCTTTCATCATGCACACAGTCTTCAAATTTATTTTAGAATTTGTTACTGAACAGATTATTTCAGTGGATATTTATTGTGATTGATTATGATCTGTTTCACCTAACTGAAAATTCTTGTGTCTGAAGCGAACTTTTGTGTGAGAGTGAAGGACAAAAAGGAAAGTATAAAAAAACCCAGAAGATTATCAAATCTTGATAGTAAAAACAAGGATTTCAGTCTTCAGTTTAAACACTAAGACATGAAAGGCACTGCATTTGGTGAAATTTTGATATTGCTGTTAGAGGGTGTAAGAACCAGGGGTTACCTAGTGAAATTAATAGGCAGCAGGTTTAAAACAAAAGAAAGTACTACTTTACACAACACACAGTCAACCTGTGGAACTCATTGCTACAGGATACAGGCCAAAACTATAAATAGGTTAAAAAAGAATTAAATAAGTTCATGGAGGATAGGTCCATTAATGGCTATTAGCCAAGATGGCCAGGGACACAACCCCATGCTCTAGATGTCCTAAGCCTCTAGCTGCCAGAAGCTGGGAGTCAACAATGGGCTAGATCACTCAATAATTGCCCTGTTCTGTTCATTCCCTCTGAAGCATCTGGCAATTGTCACTGTTGGAAGAGAGGATACTGGCCTAGATGCACCATTAGTCCGACCCAGTATGGCCTTTCTTATGTTCTTACGTTTTATTATCTTTATCCTGAGGATCCTTCCTCATGTAGGGTCTGATCCAGCTTCAGCTGAAGTCAGTATTAAAACCTCCCTCTACTGCAGTAGTGTAGCATCAAATCTTTGCTTTCTGAGGCTCTGATCCTGCAAAGACTGATGCACATGCTTAACTTTATCCACTGTGGCTCATGCTTTGAGATCAGTGGGACTGTTCTGTGTAATGTTAACGACATGTGTAAGTCTTTACTGGATTGGGACCTAACTTTTTTCTTCCCATCAAACAAAGCTTACAGAAATTATACACTTTTCAGAATCAGTGCTGTCTTTACCTTTGTTGTCAGGAATTTTATTACACAGCAAGTTAAAGAGCTCTCAATCTCCCATCCCTCCAGCTGACCAGGAAAACAAAAGTCCAGATCTAGACATCTAACTTGAGTCTTCCGCCTGATCATGGAGAAGACTAATAATCAGTCATTGACCAACTCTATCACTATGTATGTATTTAAACCAGTATATAATAGTTGAAAAAATGCCCAATAGCAGCTCTTTTTTCACTACCAACGTTATTGTAAAAACTGTTTCAGTGAGATGAAAAAGACCACTGAACATGTGATAACAAGGACTTTTTTTTGTACCTATTACACAGGCTTAACTATGCTGTTGGGTTAAGGCATACAGTCATAGAACCCAAATCTGCAAACATTGCGTGTATGGTAGTCCAGAATGAATTTGTTGAACGCTGATGAGACACCACAGAAATTAAAGATGGAAAATATCTATAAAGTTATGCATTTGTTTCCGGTGATTTCTGGATTATATGGTTAATGTGTGATTTCTGTGTGTTCATAGGGACAATATTTTCAAACATTTTTGTGAACTAAAAATTCCTAAAGTGCAAAACAGAGAACAATTACAAATTGAACCTGAGTAATTCTGGTGCATTTTAAGATGCATTTTTGTTGAGCTGGTTCATATGAATTCAATAACCTAGCTTATATGATGCTTTGTTTTCCTGTCTAGCATTTGAGAGTATATTGTTGCTGGTCTCAGAATTCTGGTCTTTGATCTCAAAGGGTTTTAGAATAAATCAGTTTTGTCTTGTAATGGGGTCAGTCAGTTGGCTTCTCCAGTCAGCATTTACAATCATGTTATATTGGGTTTGTTGTAAGTTGTCTAACCAGTTTTTGAAAAGCACAATGTGAGAAATTTTATTTCCTTCTTCCTTGGGAGTGTTTGCTAACATGCCTGAAATACTCTTTCAGTGCTATCTATTGTTTGCCTTGACAACAAAAGATTCTAGTTTTTCCAGTTCTTTCATTTAGGGAAACTGCTGGTAAGAGCACCATCCTCAGTAAAACAGTGTTTCTGAACAGCTTAGTAGATGAAGTGTTTGCGCAGAGAAAAATAACCATGTTAAAATGCAGCTTACTTTTGTTTGGTTTTGGACTAATATTTATTGGAAAGCCAATTCATACAGCAGGTGAGCTTCAGTTTTAATATTCAGTGAGAAAGTTGCTGCAAATTATGCTCGTGCACATAAGTCATGATCCAGAACTCTTTATTCAAGCAAAATTCTTGTACGAGTCCCAGAGAAATGTATTGACTGCAGGATGAGGTCTGTAGATACATCTTTTTTTCTGTGTGACAAGTGTGTAAGTATGGTATGTTCTTTTTCTGCTTCATTGGCCAGCTTGTATGACAAGCAGTCTTGCTTATTTTACCACCTGAACAGACTGGAATTCTGAGTGTAATGATCCTAGTCAGTTTAATAATGCACATTTATACCAATAGACAGGTTTATGTTCCTTGATTTCACTTAGTAGTAGTATGGTAGTGTATTATGGTAGTGCTTAGAAGCCAGGCCCCATTGTGTTAGGCTCTGTATAAAGTATTGGTTGTGACAGTTAGAATAACTAGCCCTCATCTGTGATGAACAATGGATAAAACATTTCAGGTCTTCTGTGATGTGAGGGAATTCTCCCTTAAAATAATTGTGTATTTTTGTTGGACTTCTCATTTTTTAATTTCTTATTAATTTTCATTTAGGATTCAACAAAATAATAGTGTGTGTGGACCATTACTTGTACAGCTGTATTTTTGTGACTCGATTACAGTAATTTTTTTGTACTTCCCTCCCCTTCTAGTATCAAGATATAAATTAATAGAACTTGTTTTAAAAATTAATTTGGTGATGTATTATATCTCTGATCATACAGCATTATGAAGATAATAGGATAAATGAGATATGCTTCCATTCCAATGCCATACTTTCACATAAAACAGACTGTGAGAAAATTCAATTCTATTGACAATGGTGATGCTCGTGAGTTAGGTGAGGGCAGGATTGTATTCAATATGTAGAAAATTAGCTTTGTTACTGGACATTTCAGTATTCAGTATTTTTACAGGTGTGGTATTAGCATAAAGTTATGACCCTGGATCTCTGGAGTTCTAAACCCTATTCTGACCCTGACTCAATGTCCTCTGTGGGTTCTGGAAAGATACTTAGTTCATCTGTGCCTCAGTTCTCTCATCTGTTAAAAGTGGATAAAAATACATACCTATCTCACATGGGGAAAAAAGGGGATTGTGCAGATTAGTTAATATTTATCAGTATTTTGAAGATGAAAAGCAACATACACAGTAAGTGCTAAGTACTAATATTTTAGAAGGCTATTTTTATAAGTGAGTTACAAAATCTAACTACTGAAACTATAAATCCTACCGGTGTTACAAACCCAAAACATGTTTCTTTGTGGAAGGAAACCGTATTATTTTAATTGGAGAGTCCTCCTTAATAATGTTGTACTGCACTCAACCCTTAGAAAGTCTTTGAGATTTTAGTAGGGAAGAAACCATCTACAGAAATTGTGCTGAAGAACCTTCCTCCTACTCTGTGAAGAGAACATTGTGGATTTTTTTGTGCCACTTTGGATTGCTTCCATGGAATTTTCTGTGCCATGAGTGATTTTGTCTTATATTTGAGATGAAATCCTTTTGGGTTGTTATCTGAGAGCACAGTTCAAGTGCGGAAAAACAGTTTGCTTTTATTAAAATTAATTTATAATTTACTCTCCATTAGCCCCACTGAAGTCAACAGGAGACTTTCTGTTGACTTCAGCAGGGATTAAACCAAACGCAGTGAGTAGACAACAAATGGGAAGGAAAGGTCATCAGGTAAAGTTCACCATTTGAACCTGGTGTTTACATCAATGTAAAGCTGCATTGCTGAGATCAGATTCTAATCAGACTTTTGATCTCCAGCTTCCTGGTTAACAGCTGTACCACTGAAGTACTCTAATTCTGAAATAAGCCAGAAGGTGTATTGGAGTAGGGTGTAGTGATGACTAACAGAAACAAACAAAATGGGACATGAAAGCTGTCATTGCTGGATTAGCTGGGTTGGGGGTGGGGGACAACATGAGGAAACAAAGTTGTAAAAGTAGTGAGAGGGAGAGTTATGCACGACCTTGAAGACAAAGACAAGAAGTCAAAATTTAATTCAGTGCAGAAAGAGAAACCTGTGGAGAGATTTCAAAGGGAAAGTGGGGTTGATGTGGTTAGATTAGTTGGGTAGAAAGATAATTTTAGCTGCAGTCATTTTAGATTGATGTTTTTTAAGTCCAAAATAAAAACACTGAGATGATACAGTTTTTTTCATTTTATTTCTAAAATTGTCACCACATATTTATTATATTAAAGAGATTATGATATAGGCTTTTCTGAGCATATGGCATGTTGAAGTCTGCAGTTAATGAGTGTTTGAAAAAATAAAAAGATGCACATGCAAAGTTCTTATCTTCTCCAGTTACTGTATTCTTCTTGCTCTCTGGATGGTCTGAGACCTCTTAAATTTAACTGTCTGTGAAAATAGATAAATCCCCAATCCTGCAAAGATTTGCTTATGTGCTTAGCTTTATGCATGTGAGTAGTCTCTTTAAATTCAAGGCAATTTACATGCATAATAAAATACCTGAAGTTTTCCAGATTGTGGCCTAAATTGAAAGCTACCTGTTGCTCCTTATTTTGCTTTTTTTCCCAATGGATGTTTAATAGCTAGGAAGCCACTGAAATAAAGGACAACCTTATTAATTTACACTTTGCTAATTCATACCCATAATTTGCAAACCAAATTTTCTTAGTGAAGGTTTAGTAGCAAAGAGCTGTAGTCTCATATCATCATAATGTTTATGAAATATACTATAGAATAAATAATAAAATAATAATTCTTCTTAGCGTTTATATAATGCTCTTCATCTGTATATTTCCACATGGTTCTATGAAATATACTAAAATATTAAAACTGAACTACACATGTCAAATAAACAATGTATATTTTGTGATATGTTAACCTTTTACTTTGTTTTGTTTACTAATTCTCCAAATTTGTTAATTCACAATGGTTCTTCAAGTTGGAGTTGAGTGAGTTTCTATTCTACTTCCATGTTACAATTAGACTCCGGATACTAAAATGGTGGGGGTCAGAGGGAACGATTATTTAAAAATAATTGTTTACTACTTTCCCACATTTTTCTCCTATCTTTCCACTATCAAATTATTTTCAGTAGTAATGTTTTACACCTGTGTGGTGCCATTCTTGCCAGATTTTACCAAACAACTTTAGAAATTATATGTACTCAGTAACACTGCATTGCTACTACTTCTTGGGTGGAGTGTGGCAGCCATGTGTGGTAGCATGATTTGTACCCCAGAGGCATAAGGAGAGTACTATAAAATATGGATTTTATCTATGGATTTAATTTTATGTATGCCTATGTCCAGGCATAATTTTCTGCCTAGATCTAAGAAATAAAATAATCTCTGGTAGAGTTAACACAGATTGTTTGTTTATATGTAAGCAGGAGTTCATGATAGATGCGCTAAAATGATTCTCAAGTTAAAAACCACTAGCTCGTTAGCCACTGATACCAGATAGTGAAAAAAGGAGGTCACTTTAATGCTGTGTATATTTTAAATACTCTTTGAAATAGTAAAGTTTAAAAAAAGGCTTTACGTGAGTGATAACCAAATGTACTTTTAGATGAAATAAGAAAAATGATTAATAAAATGGTCAGTCTGTTAAGAAAAAGCATATCACCAGCATTCATATTCAGATGGTGCAACCTGATATATGATTGAGATGTTGAAACCTCAAATGTAAGTGTTAAAGCATACTCAACCAAGAAGTGTCATTAAGGATTGGCTGCATGACCAGAGTTGCTAGCCAATTGAGTAACCACAGGGACCTGTTAATAGCTAAAAAAGCAATACACAAATTCAGCTTAGAAACCGGAAAAAGTCAACAGAGTTGCAAAAAGTAAAGATACATCTGGCATTCATGTCCTGCTATTGGAATTCTCAAACAGGGGGTCATGAGGTTATTACATGCGAGTTGTGAGCTGTCAGACTCCACCCCCAAATCCTGCTTTGCCTCCAGCATTTATAATATTGTTAAATATATAAAAAAGTGTTTTTAATTTCTAAGTGTGGTTACACTCGGGGGCTTGCTTTGAGGAAGGGATCACCAATACAAAAGTTTGAGAACCCACTGACTGAGCTATTTCATAAACTGTCTTGTGTTTTGATACTGTACCAAATGAAAAGAAAAAGGCAAGTCATTTATTATAGGTGGCACAAGTAGTGATTTCTATAGTTGTTTGTTTCTATTGTAAGACCCTGTTTTCACTTGCATATAACTTTGCCAAACTTAAACCGTTTGGACTGACATTTTCCATGCCATTTCCGTGAAGGAGGCCAGGGTGAAATGGATTGTGTTTCCAAGGTTAAAAAATTCTTCCATTTCTCTGAGAAGCTCTAGAGCCTCCATGCATTGGAGCAGGGACTTGACATTTGGCAGAGGGTTTTGTTCGTATCAGGGATGTGCCCTTGCCATTCTTGTGAAACTCTTCCCAAATTTGGCCAAATTATAAGTCTCTGAAAAATCTGATTTCACATGCTAGAGTTGGGCAGATAAATTCTGTGAAGATTCAGTCTGCTCTGAGCATGTTCCATCCCTTCACAGCTCATGTGTGTTGATTGGACTACCCATGCACCATACCCTGAAATTGTCCCTCCTGGCTACAGTGGCTGCTGTGGCACCATGCCCAGGAACTGAGCAGGGGCACTGTCTTGTGTGCTCTCAATGTCGCCTTATTGCCATGCCCAGGCAGCAAGGTGAAGGAAGAGCCATGTGTGTGATGCAGATAGGTAAAGAACAGGGTGGGGGAAGAGATGTATATTAGTGGGAATGTGGCAGGACTTTGGGTAGGGAGGGAGAATAGAAGCAGGAGCAAAGGGGAGCCAAAAACCAGGAAGGGATATAGAAAGAGGGGAAGTATGGGGGAGGAAGGGAAGGAACTATGGATAGAGACGGGCAGGAGTCAGACCCGAGGGATGGACACAAGCTAAGGGGATATCAGCAAGGGAGAGGACAGGGCAGGAGCTGGGGAGTTGGGGATAGGAGAAAAAAGGGGCAGGGAGCCATGGTGAGCTGAGGAGATGGGGCAGAGGGATCTGTAACTACCCAACACACTTCCCTGTAGAACTTCAAATTGAATCCATTATTGCTGAGTCTCAGCATTTCTTTGCTGTCTAGCAAATCACTGTGAAACAGACTGGCAAAGTGTGTGTCTCCAGCCACCCTAGTGGTTGGTCCACATAGACGATAACTGCCTTCTACTTCTACCGATTACTCTGTTAGCTTAAGTTGTAGATAACTTTGCTGTGGATCTAAAGACACCAACCCGGCAGATGTCCCTGTTGGGGTGAGTGCAGTTCTACATGATGAAATTTCTATTTTTATTTAGTTTTTAAGTTTCCTGCAAACATAGGAAGTTACAGAAGAGAAAACAAAAAAATCACACCACCCTACATTAAAGGAACATTATTAAGGTTGCAAAATCAAGCACTCAAAAGTTAGAAAATGCCAAAATTAATGTCACCTGTACAACCTTAATTTGTTCCCTTTTTGTAGGCGTTATGATCCAGTTTTTAATTACATGATCACATATTATTTTTTCCACAAGATTCCAGCCTTATTCAGTGAATGGGTGGTTATCTAGGTTTTTTTTTAATCCTGGTCATTTAATGTGTGGCACCATATATTATTTACTGCACACCATCCAAACCCTGTACTGAGCACAGAATTATGAATTTCCTCATGGGCTCTTCTGTGGTGTTATCATTGTAATATTTTAAATCTTTTCAAACATTAATGAATTTATTTTTGTATCACCCCTACGAAATGAGGTGGTATTTTACACATGGGGGAACTGTTGCAGAGAGATTAAAGCCAAAATTGTCTAAAGTGTCAACAAATTTGACTAATTTGAGGACTTAATTTTTCAGAGTATTTAGCATGTTATAGCACTTTATTATGTTCAGAGCAGAGTTCTTATGGTATGTCTGCACTGCCATTAAAAAACCATGGGTGGCCTGTGTCAGCTGACTCAGGCTTGCAGGGGTCTGGTTAAGGGGCTTTTTAATTACAATGTAGACGTTCGGGCTTGGGCTGGAGCTTAGGCTCTGGGACCTGAGCCTGAATGTCTAAACCACAGTTAAACAGCCCCTTAGCCGGAGCCCCACAAGCCCAAGTCTGCTGACATGGGCCAGCTGGGTGTTTTTAATTGTAGTGTAGACATATCCTTATTGACTCCAGATGCAGTTGTGGGCACTCAGCACTTCTGCAAATCAGACCCTAAGAGTCTCAAGGTGGATACCCAGAAAATGAGGAACACATTGGCCACCTGTGAAAATTTTGATTTACGTGACTTGCCCAGCATAACATAGGAATTCTGGCCAAGACAGGGATAGAATCCAGTTTACTATGGCATTCAACTGCCTTAACTATGAGACCATCCTTTCTCTTCCTGCACTTAGTTGCCGCTGATTAAACTGGTTTTCAGTGATGAGCATTGTGAACATACAGAATTTGTGAATTATTTACTCTTTCTATTTCTTTAGAGATTTTAAATTTTATTTTTAGGTGCATCCTCTCATCAGACATCTAGACTTTCAACATTTGAAATAATTACCCCGCGAAGTTTAACAGGCAGGGAGAGACGCCACACATATTTACATGAGGTTTGTTTCTCTATCCAAACTTTTTTTTATGAATTATTTGTTACTGTTAATATTGCACTACAATATATATAAAAGAATACACCCTACTATGTAGAATAGTCAGTAATCTCTTCTATACCTTTCAGCGGGTTGCACGTTTGTGAGTGAATTATTTAGCTCTCAGAATTGGCTTCAAAACAGGCAAGAGATGGTCTTCTCTGTCCACATCACACAAACCTCTAGTTCAGTTCATAATGATTGCTACATTTGTTGGCAATCTTAGCAGAGACAAAAATCTGAGTGAACATGGGAAAACTGTCAGGTGTTTCCTCTGGGTCCAGTTAGAAAGTGTAGGGAAATTTGAACTGACATTGTCCATGCTGTGCTTGTTCTTTGGCTAAACAGAGGACTTCGGTCATCCTAGTACCTTTCACCATAAATAAGGGCCCAGTCATACTTGCATTGCACAAATTGTTCAATTTAATTCTGTGGGGCTAATTGAGTGAGTAAGGAGTGATAAATTCCCTAGGAGAGAAAAAATATTAATGGATGTTTGAGATAATTTTTGCCTCCAGGTTAGAGTATGGTTGCCAGGGAAATACTGTATATTTTACTGCCTCTGGCAGCTCTAAATATGCTTGGTTGCCCAAGAATAGCTGGAGTGCAGCTCCATACTTGCTCTAATGTACATCCCACGGGAGGTGGCAGACACCAGTTATGCTGGCTCTTCACTGTTCAGAAAACAGAATTTGGCTGGTTTTTGGCCCAGCTTTAATTTTTCCATTATTTCACCCTGATGAATTAGTAAGGGGCATCTGTTCTGGAGAGTATAGAACCCTAGACTGCTAGTCTGGATTTACCACTGCTCATGGTTATTTTCTGCTCTCCTATTAACATACGTTTATATTGTCACATTTCCATAAAAGTCTCTATTAGCAGATTTCAGCATGGTAGCCATGTTAGTCTGTTTCAGCAAAAACAACGAGGAGTCCTTGTGGCACCTTAGAGGCTAACAAATTTATTTGGGCATAAGCTTTCGTGGGCTAAAACCCACTTCATCAGACGCATGGAGTGGAAAAAAACAGTAGGCAGGTATATATACACTGTACATGAAAAGATGGGAGTTGTGTTACCAAGTGGGGGGGTGGGGTCAGTGCTAATGAGACAATTCAATTAAAGTGGAAGTGGGCTATTGTTAACAGTAGAATACCAAGGGAGGAAAAATCACTTTTGTAGTGGTAATGAGGCCAATGTAATCAGGGTGGCCTATTTCAAACAATTGACAAGAAGGTGTGAGTAACAGTAGGGGGAAATTAGTTTTTATAGTGACCCATCCACTCCCAATCTTCGTTCAGACCTAATTAATGGTGTTCAATTTGCAAAATAATTCCAGTTCTTCAGTTTCTCATTGAAGTCTGTTTTTGAAGTTTTTGGTTGAAGAATTGCCACTTTTAAGTCTGTAATTGAGTGTCTAGGGAGATTGAAGTGTTCTCCGACTGGTTTTTGAATGTTATAATTCTTGACGTCTTATTTGTGTCCATTTATTCTTTTGCGTAGAGGCTGTGCAGTTTGGCCAGTGTACATGGCAGAGGGGCATTGCTGGCTCATGATGGCATATATCACACTGGTAGATGTACAGGTGAACAAGCCCCTGATGGTGTGGCTGATGTGGTTAGGTCCTATGACGGTGTCCCTTAATAGATATGCGGACAGAGTTGGCAACGGGGGTTTGTTACAGGGCTAGGTTTCCCCATACTAATTTCCCCCTACTGTTACTCACACCTTCTTGTCAATTGTTTGAAATGGGCACCCTGTTTACGTTGGCCTTATTACCACTACAAAAGTGATTTTTCCTCCCTTGGTATTCTACTGTTGAAAATAACCCACTTCCACTTTAACTGAATTGTCTCGTTAGCACTGATCCACCACTTAGTAAGGCAACTCCCATCTTTTCATATACTGTGTATATATACCTGCCTACTGTTTTTTTCCACTCCATGCATCTGATGAAGTGGGTTTTAGCCCACAAAAGCTTATGCCTAAATAAATTGTTAGTCTCTAAGATGCTACAAGTACTCCTCGTTTCTATTAGCAGAGTATTTTAATCCTTCTACTGGTTGTTTGTTTTCTCTTGTGTCTTCTCCATGACGTTCTCCTAGCTGCATGGAATGTAAAATGTCAATAAAAAGATAAAGAGTGTAATATCTTTTATTGAACCAACTTAGAGTGTCCTTTTACATTTCCCATACCCGAAGAACAGCTCTTTGTAAGCTCATCTCTCTCACCAACAGAAGATGATCCAGTAAAAGATATTACTTCGTCCACCTTTTCTCTGTAATATCTTGGAACCGACATGACTACAACGCCTCTCCATATAATAAAAAATATTGCAGGGAATGCCTCCATCACTGTGGAATATACAAAGCATGAGGTTTTAAGAATATCTCTCTTTGTAAATTTGTTATATACCTAAAATGTTGAACAGAAGTAGTAGTAGTGCCTTTTTTGGTTAGAGAAAATATGAATTTATGATCAGGTAGGGAACTGCGTAACCAAGGGATATTTTTTGTTTTGTTTTCAGGACCATTCAGATGATCGCTCTTATTCGATTCAAACTGCAAATGGAACATATATCCTAAAACTAAAGAAAAATACGTAGGTTATACAGTATTCTAAGACGCATTTCAATTTTGGATTTTACTTAATAGAGACCACTATTTTTGTATTGAAGATTGTTTGGAATAAGCAGTCTAAAATGGTAGTATGTTATGAAAGTGAGGTGGTAATAAATAGTGTATAAAGGAGCTGGCTTGAAAACAGATAAAATAAAATGTGAAAATGTTATTGTAGTACATTTTTTTAAAAATTCTGATGAAATTTTCACTTAGCTCCATTGTATATAAGAAACAATGTGCCAAAAAGCATACTATTAATAGAGATTTATTACAGAAGAAAAAGTTCTCACTGAAAAATAAATCAGTGCAAAATTAGATTTCTGCTACCTATTTTTGTTAATTATTGTAGAGGAATTTGTCTAATTTTGTTGTTATCAATCCCCAAAAGTTTATAGGCCAGCCACTTTTCCAATAACTGAAAGAATGAATCAAGTTAAAAAAACAATACAGTTATGGATTTTTTTGGTAACAAAAATTTTAAAAGTAAATTATTCTCAAAATGATGCAGCTGATTTTTTAAAAAAACCATCCTATTTTACACTCTATGTCCTTCTACCGTATTTAATAGTAAAGTTATCATGGAAGTGTTACCCTCAAAATGTATTGCTGAATACGATACTTGATGTATATTTTGTCATAGACACTTAAAACAGCAGCAGTTTATTTTTGTTTCCAGAAATCTTGTTAGTGAAGATTTTGTACTATATACATACAGCAAAAATGGGAAATTGGAGGCTACCCATTCAAATATGAAGGTACTGTGCTTATTAAAGTTCAATTTTTGTGTCAGACTGTGTCTTTAGCACAGGGGAACTAAGCTTTGTGACACCAAAGGCTGTCCACAAGGTTGCATATACATTTAAATACATTTTTAAACAAAAATACTTATACACAACCATTAATTCTGGTTGTGTTTATATCTTCCCTGATATAGGAGTGACAATTGCTTGAGTTCACAACAATGAATAAGGCACTCAAAGATCAACTAGAGAATAATAGAAGGTTGCGTTGGATCAAGTTTTAGGCCTTCTTGAGCACTCCTGCTTTAACGTGTGGTATTTTTATGTCATTGTTACCAATGGGCATAAAATATAAGGCTGCCATGCTATAATCTTAACTCTAAGTATGTTTAACCTGTTGCTATTTATGATGACATGGTGTCTGCAATAACTCCTGTTTTCAGAAATATGTGAATGTATAAGAAGGATGCTCTGGAAGCTTACATAAAGACTGAAATTAGGTTAGTTGATTATATAGCCATTGTGTAACACACATTTTTGGATCAAGATGCAAAGTTGCCCAGTTTTGAGGCCCTGATTCAGGAAAATGCTTAAGCACATGCCAATGTTTATTCCTGTTCGGGAAGGCATCTAAATATGTACTCAACTTTAATCATGAGACTTCAGTAGAACTTAAGTATGTGCTTAAACGTGCATCCTGAACAATTCAGGCTTTAAAAGCAGGATTTACCTGCCAAAGAACAGGATGGACAAAATAGATCCATGTGGTTTGTCAGACATTGAGAATGGGTTAAATTGGGCATTTTCCCTCCCTTGTCAAGGAGGGGAAATTTTTTTTACCAATTATTTTACCAATATTTTTACCAATGAAGGGCCAAAATCTGCTGTGCTTACTCACAGTGAGTAGCGTTTTACTCCAAGAGTAATCCAATGGAAGAAAATTGAGACAACTTGTAGAGTTCTGAGTAAAGCTGGCAAAATCTGGCCCTAATAAATAAACTATTGGGCAAATGAGTAGTCTGGGTCTTTCACTTGAATGAAAAAAATACTGTTATGTAATTAATTATGTGGTTTCATTGTGTTTCAGACACACTGTTACTATGGTGGAGTTGTTGAAGGAGTTGCTGATTCTATGCTTGCTCTTAGTACATGTGATGGTCTTAGGTATTACTTTTTGCTTTTCACTTTTCAATGTATCATTGACTGATATACCAAGAAAATGTATTGTTGTTCAGAATCTCCATTTTTTATTACATAAGAACGAATGAATCCGGGAGTGGCCACAGTTCAACCTATACAATTTTGTAATGCTGCTTTTCAGGGACAAGGGTATGGATTTTCAAAATGCTGAGCATTAATATAATTTCCTTCCCGTTGAATTCAGTGGTGAATGGTAGTAGAGTTCGGTTAACACTGAGTGCTTTTGAAAATTCCACCTAGATGTCCCAATATGCAATACTACATCTTGTGTTAAGCAGCCTGGTGGATGTAGATGGAGCACAGCATGTGATGTTGGAACATGTAACCCCCCATAGGGCTGCATCTCCCTATTGACTGCAACCTGCTCCAGCATGCAAACAAGAGATATACAAATTCCTAGTGCAGCCCTCACCAGGGCAAAGTTTGAGTAACCTGAAGTTAATCTGTTACTAAAGATAAAATTTTCACAAAACAAAAGCATTGTTTACTTAGATTGTAAATTTTTTGGGGGGTGGGGACTGTTTTTCATTATATAGGGCATGGGGCCAACCACAGAGATGCCCTGGTTGGAGTCCTGTGCGCTACCACAGTGTAAACAATAAATTAAATAACTGCTCTGCATCACTATTTAATGTTTCTGTATAGCGTAAGAGTGTAGCACACTATAATCATTCTACAAATAATAGCAGTGATGTTGATAAGTTTGCATTTAGAAGCAGGCTTCCAAAACCCACACAGTAACTCTGTTACATTAAATTACAATAATGTTTTTGTTAGACAGACAGGTCAGCTTGGGGACTAAAAGGTGGTGAATTGACAAAATGAGACACCACTTGCCGTATGTGTGCAGATATTCAAAGTATGGTCATGAGTGTTCCCTGGGTTCCACAACTTCCTTGAGCTTAGCTCCCTGTTGGTGTGGCTTGAATATGCCTATAAGCTCTTGGGCTTGGCTTCTTTTGTGGTGGGAAATAAGTGATGGAACTCACACAACATCACAGCAGAGCTAGAGTAGTTCAGCTCCGTAGGGGTGGGGAGGGAAGACGTTGGGCATGATGCATTGTGCGCTGAGATTGTGCTGCACAAAACCCTTACTCTGTGCATGACCGCAGCATGGCAACTTTCAGGAATTAGGGCAAAGGTGGGTAGAAGAGGAATGAAGGACTTTCTAGCAGAGATCCAGAATAGTTTCTTTAGAGCAACTCCATAGCCATCCTGCAGCTTTATTAATCGAATAATTCTCAGCCATTCCTGACACTTAATTTTAGGGGCAACTTCCCCTTTGCCTGTTATGAAAGTTGTTTATATTAAAAAAATAAGGTAACAGTGTAAATTTCTTAGTAGTGAAATATTCAGCTGTAGTTTATTCATCTAAGTTGTACCTTTACAAGTGCCGGGAAATTCTACTTGATAATTTCTCATACCTTTATTATTGTAGGGGAATCCTTCACATTGGTGACAAACAGTATGGTATGGAGCCAGTTGACACATCAGCTACATTTGAGCACCTATTTTATCCATTAGAATATGTTCAACAAGATCCTTTTCTGTGTGGTGTGCTGAATGATAACCTTCACCAAGAGAAGAGTGTGAAGAATTCTCTCAGATATACAAATGTTTCACACAGTTCTTTCAGCAGGGAAAAGCTTTTTAGGGTAAATATATTTGTGTTTTTCTCTTGAGAAATGTTTAGATCCTTGGATCCAATACAACTCTTTTGGGGCTGCTTCAGAGACCTGAAGGGGCTATAAAACTATCTTAAGTGACTTCCTGGGGTTTACCCTGGTGTAGGAGCATTCCAGGTTGTGTATCTAGCTAGCTCTTTGTTTACCCCATTTCAGGGCCCTGAGCATGGCTGGAACACTGCTGGGCTTCAGAAATCCTCACATAGCGGAATGGCAACATGGAGACTGTTGCAGTCAAGTGCAACTTAAAGCAGCCCGGAAGCTGTTCTAAGCTGTATGAGAGGGCAAAGCAACAGGATTGGAGGCGTAGTGGATATAAAGATGCCATAAGGCCCCCACCTCAGAGAGCCTGTCTGCCACTGAAGTATTGAGCTGTAGATCTTTAAGCTGTCAATTAAGCTCAAAAAGCGAACAAACTTGAGGCCAAACCAAGATAGCATGCCTTGTAAATATATGCAATAACATGGTAACAAATAGTAATACAAATCTTGACTTATTGGTAATTAAAATATTAACTTATTGCATTTTCTAACTTGCAGAAAAAACGAGCTGTGCTGCCACAGAGACACTACGTGGAACTATTTATGGTTGTGGATAACAACAGGGTAATGTGTTTCTCTAGTATTAAACACATTTCATCAAATTATTTATTTTTTCTCTGACATCCTAATATTGAATTTTACAGTATTTGCAGAAGAATTCTGATCCTGTAGCTGTGCAAAAGGAAACAATTGAGCTGACTAATTATGTTGATGTGGTAGGTCATTTCAGTCATATGGATATTCAGTAGTCTCTTCTTTATCTTATTTCACACAAATAGCAATGTACAACTAGTGTATTCTGTGTTTGTATTCTAACTGAAAAATATAATTAATATACAGACATATAATTAATATCTAGACAAGACTGTTAGAAGTACACCACAGAACTCTCAGCCCAGGGGAGAGAGGATAAGGTGGTTTTTAGCCACCTTTGCACACACTCAACCTTAGGCTGCTCCAGGGGCATAACTTGGACAGCCCTCCCAGTGCCGCCCGATGGGCTGCAGGGATACCTGGAATCTCTGGCAACTCTGACAGATCTCTCCCCACCTCTCACAAACCTCCTGTGCCAGGATGTATGCCGGCAGCCTTAGGGAAATTTTTCCTCAGCTGGATATAAGGCTTTTATAGCCACATTATGCTGCTCTGGACCTTTCCCCTGGCATAAAGGGGACAAAACAGAGATGAGGATCACACCCATAATGCAGCAAATTTTCAAAATCTACCTCTAAAATTGTACTCTGCATTTTTGCATGAGTTTTTAATGTGCAGTTTTACACATCCAAGCTTTGTACGCACAAAAGCATAAGCCCAAGAATGTGTTTGCAAAAGTATACATATAATTTCAGACATCGAGTTGAGGTACCTTTGAAAATTTAGCAAAATAACATAGTGTTCTGAATACGTATGAATCATTGTGACTAGACTCATGCAATAACTGATGAAAAACAAGGCTAAAAACATGGATAAGAGCACAGAAGACTGTTGCTAGTGGGTTTTTTTAAACTTTACCTCAAAATATTTCACTATTTCTGAAAGATTGAACATTCCTGTTTGTGTTCGTAAGAAAAAAAATCAAATATTTCATCAGCATTAGGGGGCTAATCCTCCCCTCCAACATGGTACATGGAGTGCTACATGAGGTACATACTGCTTCTCTGTTCTACACAGGAATAATCAATGTAGGCAAGAAGTTTTAATACCTAACTAAAGGCTTGATCCAGCTCCCACTGAAGTCAATGGGCATCTTTCCATTGCATATAGTCCATCCTCTACTGGCCAAAGTTTACCCTCAAAATCCCCAGTTGCTCTCAGAAGATCTAGCCTCTTTGCTGCCTGTGGAGTTTCCCATTCCACAGCCGTAAGCAATTTCCATAAGTCCCTGACAATCCACTAGAGACATGAAATCGTTCCTAGGCTCTCCTCAAGATAACCAGCCAAGATAATGAATGAAACAGTTCCCTTCCCCCAAGTGTTGGCCCTCTGATTCCTTACTCATAGGGCTCTTGCATCTGAAGGATATGGCTAGGAATCCTAATAGACATAGGAGACCTTCAGTCTTGTAATCTTTATTCAGTAACATCCCACCCCCCATAAATGATAGTGTAGGTTTCGACTGAATAAAGAACAGGAGCATCTGGCCCAGTTTGTACTGTGAACTAATTATTTAAATGAACTAAACTTTCCTACACTTCCATTGTTCCAGTCAACATAATATTGAACTGGTAATAATGATGTGATTTTTTCAGAATTCAGTTGAATTTGGTTCACATATATGTAAAGTAATCACCATTGTGTATTTTCAGATGTATGATGCATTGAACATCCAGATTGTTTTGATTGGGCTAGAAATCTGGTCAGATAAAAATCACATAAATGTAATGGATGGTTCAGCTGGAGATGTACTAAATAGATTTGTTTCTTGGAGAGAAAAAAATCTTCTTAAGCGTTCAAGAAATGATGTTAGCCACCTCATAATGTAAGTTTTGGTTCATTAGAAAAACTTGCCTCATACTATAAATCAGAATTGTAATATTGCTTATGTTTGCAAATGAGAATAAATAATAGAAACTGGACTACTGCTAATTTAAAGCTTTGTCTTTAATTGTAGCCCACCAAGAAATTACTTGTGTAATTAAATCTTTATTCTTAATCTGATTCTTCACTCAAAAACAATAACACAGCATATGTATATTTTTCAAGAGTTATGTCATATAGTTGGTGTAGGCACACTGATCAGAGAGCCATATCCTGATCCTTTGGGAAAGTGGGAAATTTCCCACTGACATCAGTGAGACCAAGATTTGACTCATCATAATATTTGGGTCAGACCCATCAATATTTTTTCACTAGAAAGCAATGAACTTTCAGCCCCATTCTCGAAACAGTGCACATGTTCTGTCGTTATGTTGCAGAGGAAGAAGTGCCTATAGTGGGGCAGTTGGAATGGCTTTTGTAAGTACAGTCTGTTCTCAAGTCCATGGAGGGTCCATCAGCACTGTAAGTACAGTACTTCATCTCAGTGATTAATGTACAGATCTAGTCAATAAAAAAATCTGCACACCTCCCTGGCCTATTCCGCCAAGTCATCAAAGGCTAAGAGGTTTGGTTTGGTGTGGGCTGTTCTATTAGTTTTTGAGGATGATGATAAAATTCCTTTTGCCACATCCCTCTCCTTCATGCACCAGTCCACCTCATTCAGATAAGTCTCAGGCTATATTTTGGCCATATTTTTAAATTTATTTAGCTCAAAGTTGGCTAGAAAAGCACATCCCCATACCTGTAAGTCCATAAAGTCCATAGATTCTTAGGTGCACGAGAATTCCACTCAGTGCACTTTGGGGAGAGTGGGGTAAAATTCGCTTTAAGCTGCCTGTGCCTTCCCTTAATCCTATGGGAGGGCTAATATCACCTTACTTAGGGTATGGAGGTTTGTCTTTATAATATTAGATACCACAGCAGCAGACACAGTATAAGGGCCAAATTTTGCCTACCGTACTTATATTTAATAGTACTTTAGTCTGTGAGGAACCCCATTGAAATCAGTGGAACTACTGATGGAGTAAAAGCATGAGGAAGAATGGCAAAATCTGATCCTAAACCGATATATAGATAAAGAATTACACTGATTTGCTATTAGTGCTCTCTCCTTATGATAGCATCACACATTTAGAGAGACATAGCTTAAATAAATCAGTCAGTAGGATCATTGCCTTGTTTTCTCATGATTTCTTTATTTTCATGTTTTATTTTCATATTCATTTCAACAATTGCTTCTCTTTACTAGCTTAAAGGTAACAATGTGCAACGTCATGCCACAGTAGTTGCACATGAGCTGGGGCATAATCTTGGTATGAAACATGATGATGGAAGGTGCTCCACATCCTACATTATGTACAGTACGGATAAGTAAGAGCTCCAAATATTATTACCTTATTTTTAATATTACATATTTGTATTAGATTTATTCAGCTGTGTAAAATTCCTATTAAACTCAGAGAACCTTAGTAAATGGACTTTGTATGGAGAACTTAAGTCTAGAGGGTTAAAAAGTTAATGGGACTTAGTTGATTGAGGTTAGTGTGCTGTTTCCACCCAGCTCCTAACATAGTATTCACACACTGGATCTGGTCCAAACTTCCCTTTCCTAAGGCTTACATTTACAGTTATTTAAATAAAATGTACATCTCTACCTACATTGTATTATCAAGTTGGCAGTTCTGAGGGTTAGGTTTGGGGCTAATAGGACTCACCTGACCTGACATCAGAGTGACTCAGCAAAAATAAATGCATGTTTATGAGGGTTCAATCTGTGACATCATAGTATCTCTGCAGAAAACCTCTATGTAGGATCAAGGAACCCATCACTGTTATAGTAGACATTATTTATATATAGTTCCACAGTTAAACTTTGAATGCAGAGTTTCAGCCTGGAATAAATGTTGTGGTCCAACAATAAACCCTCAGAAACCCCCACCAGAATTAGAAATTAAAGATGGAAATAATAGACTTTAAATGGAAAAGAACTTCCTCTAAACTAAACATCATTTATATTTAGGACTGTCATGCGATTAAAAAAATTAATTGCAATTAATTGCGCAGTTACAAAAATTAATCACGATTAAATCATGCAATTAATCGCACTGTTAAACAATAATAGAATAGCATTTATTTAAATATTTTTGGATGTTTTCTACATTTTGAAATATATTGATTTCAATTACAACACAGAATACAAAGTATACAGTGCTCACTTTATATTTATTTTTATTACGAATATTTGCACTGTAAAAAAACAAAATAAATAGTATTTTTCAATTCACCTAATACAAGTACTGTAGTGCAATCTCTTTATCATGAAAGTTGAACTTACAAATGTAGAATTATGTACATAAAAACCCTGCATTCAAAAATAAAACAATGTAAAACTTTAGAGCATACAAGTCCTATCAGTCCTACTTCTTGTTCAACCAATCGCTCAGACAAACAAGTTTGTTTACATTCGCAGAAGATAATGCTGCCTGTTTCTTGTTTATAATGTCACCTGAAAATGAGAACAGGCGTTTGCATGGCACTGTTGTAGCCCACGTCGCAAGATATTTACATGCCAGATGCACTAAACATTCATATGTCCCTTGATGCTTCAACCACGATTCTAGAGGACGGGCATCCATGCTGATGATGGGTTCTGCTCGATAACTATCTAAAGCACTGCAGACTAACACATGTTCATATTCATCATCTGCCACCAGCAGAAGGTTGATTTTCTTTTATGGTGGTTTGGGTTCTGTAGTTTCCATATCAGAGTTTTGCTCTTTTAAGACTTCTGAAAGCATGCTCCACACCTCATCCCTCTCAGATTTTGGAATGCACTTCAGATTCTTGAATCTTGGGTTGAGTGCTGTAGCTATCTTTAGATATCTCACATTGGTACCTTCTTTGCATTTTGTCAAATTTGCAGTGAAAGTGTTCTTAAAATGAACGATGTGCTGGGTCATCATCCAAGACTGCTATAATATGGAATATATGGCAGAATGCAGGTAAAACAGAGCATGAGACATAAAATTCTCCTCCCAAGGAGTTCAGTCACAAATGTAATTAACACATTTTTTTTAAACGAGTGTCATCAGCATGGAAGCATGTCCTCTGGAACGATGGCCAAAGCATGAAGAGGCATATGAATCTTTGGCACATCTGGCATGTAAATATCTTGCGACACCACCTGCAACAGTGCCATGTGAATGCCTGTTCTCACTTTCAAGTGACATTGTAATTAAGAAGTGGGCAGCATTATGTCCCTTAAATGTAAACAAACTTGTTTCTCTTAGCCATTGGCTGAACAAGAAATAGGATTGAGTGGACTTGTAGGCTCCGAAGTTTTACATTCTTTCGTTTTTGAGTGCAGTTATGTAACAAAAAAAATCTACATTTGTAATTTGCACTTTCATGGTCAAGGGATTGCAGTACAGTACTTGTATGAGGTAAATTGAAAAATACTTTCTTTTCTTTACCATTTTTACAGTGAAAATATTTGTAATCAAAAATAATATAAAGTGAGCAATGTACACTTCGTATTCTATGTTGTAATTGAAATGGATATATTTGAAAATGTAGAAAACCTCCAAAAATATTTAATAAATTTCAACTGGTATTCTATTGTTTAACCGTGCGATTAATCACAATTAATTATTTTGACTTACTTTCGTGAGTTAACTATGATTAATCGACAGCCCTATTTACAGTCTAATTTCAGTTATCCATCCTCAAAAATATCGGGTTTAAACAAATAAGACTTCAAACTATAGTATGGCTAGTAGATGTCACTATACTTTGTAAATTCAAGACTTTGGTTAAATTTTTTAGGTAAGTAATAATTTTTACTGTAGCACAGTTGCCTTCTCTCATAAGGGGTGTTGTGCAAAATCCACAAAAATTATTCAAGAGCTGGAAAAAATGTCTTAAAGTGAGAGACTTAAAGAACTCATTTGTTTAGCTTATCAAAAAGAAGATCACAATCCTTAATCTAGCAAAGAGAGGCATAATGGGAACCAGTAGTTGAAAGTTAAAGCTTAAACATTCAGGTTAGAAATAAGGCAAAGAAAATTAACAGTGAGGATGATTAACCACTGAAACAAACTACAAAGGGAAGTGGTGGATTCTCCATCCTTGATGGCTTCAAATTAAGACTGTATGCCTTTCTGGAAGACATGCTGTAGTCCAGGGGTGAACAAACTACAGCCTGCGGGCCACATCTGGCCCATCAGCCAATTTGATCCGGCCCTTGAGCTTCCGCTGGGGAACAGGGTCTGGGGTTTACCCCACTGCCACGCTCCAGCTGAGGAGTGGGGTCCGGGGCTGCTCTGCGCAGCTCCCAGAAGCAGTGTCATGTCCTCCCTCTGGCTCCTACATTTAGGGGTAGCCAGGGGGGCTCCGCGCGCTGCCCCCGCCCACTCCTACTCCCTTTGGCCAGGAACTCTGGCCAATGAGAGCTGCAGGGGCGGTGCTTGCGGATGGGGTGTCACACACAGCCGCCTGGCCGCACCTCTGCATAGGAGCCGTAGGAGGGACATGCCATTGCTTCCGGGAGCTGCCTGGGGTAAGTGCCGCCCAGAGCCTGCACCCCTGAGCCCCTACCATGCCCCAACCCCCTGCCCCAGCACTGATTCCCCTCCTGCCCTCTGAACCCCTCAATCCCAGCCCGGAGCACCTTCTTGCACCCCAAATCCCTCATCCCCAGCCCCAGACCAGAGCCTGCATCCCCACCCAAAGCCCCCAACCCACACCCTGAACTCATTTCTGGCCCCATCTCAATGCCCGCACCCCCAGCCAGAGCCCTCACTCCCTCCTGCACCCCAATCCCAATTTCATGAGCGTTCATGCCCCACCATACCATTTCCATACCTCGGGCCTAAAGGTTTGCCCACCCCTGCGGTAGTCAAACACTTTGGGTTAAATACAGGGGTAACTGGGTGAAATTCAATGACCTGTGTTATACAGGAGGTCAGATTACATGATCTAATAGTCCCTTCTGGTCTTAAAATCCATGAATATATGAAAGACTAAAATTCTGGCAGTATCTTTTAACTCCTAGAAATATCTTTCCTTAATTGCAATATGTAGATCTAAAAAATGAGTGATCCCAATGATCTACTACTACACAAGCAATGTATAGAACCTTGTTATTAAATGGCTTGAAATAAATAGATCTTTACTCAAAAAATGTGTATGCCAAACAAATGCAATATTATGCTTTCTAGTGCATCCAAGAATTTCAGCACTTGTAGTGCCAATGATTTTGAGAAACTCATTTTGAATGGTGGAGGAAACTGTCTTAAAAATGCTCCAAAACCAAGTGATATTTTCACAGAACCTTTCTGTGGCAATAACATGGTGGATAAGAATGAAGAATGCGATTGTGGCAAACCCCAGGTACAGTACTTCAGTTCATTTGGGCACCCAGGCTTCAATCTCAACCTGTTTTGTACAAAGACATTCCTTGGGGGAAGGGGTAGAGTGGGGGCAGGGCCCAAGGCGGAGCAGGGGTCAAGCACCCCCAGGGAAATGAGGAGGCCGGCGCTTGTGATTGGTACTACTTAGAATATATGCTGGCAAATACCAGTGGTGAGGAAAAACCCATGTTCAGTTGAAGGTTTTTTCTGGCACCAAAAAAAAACCCCTAAAAACAAATAATTTCTATATTGTACTCTTAACTTGGAAAATAAAATATATTGAGTGCTACAAACTGTTAATAGAAACCTATGGAGTTCTGCTTCGCTAGGACCCTGTTCTATTTAGAAAAGCAGTTGTTGCTTTACCTGTTGTTGCTCTTATCCCTATGCAAATAGCCAATCAAAAAGAAAATTTCTCTCTAGTTTCTGATAGATAGCCAAACTGCATGTTGCCTTCCAATAGGACAGAGAACTTTAAACTTCAAACACTGAAAGAGACTCAGTACATTTGGCTTCTGGTCAGAACTTAGTCCGACTGTGTACTTCAGAAACCCCTGACTATAGAGAAAAGTAAAAACACTGTGTGCCTAATTCATGCCTTTGCTATAGGAGTGTACTAATCCTTGCTGTGATGCTGTAACCTGCAAATTTAAGTCTGGATCACAGTGTGCTGAAGGGTTGTGCTGTGAAAATTGCAAGGTAGGCTGGAGGAACCCTTTTTTGTTAATTTATGTTCTTAACTTAAACAATTGGTACTAATTAGTAGTGAATATTTTTTTTTAATTTTTAGAAATGGGTCTATCACAGTGTCTTTAGACACCTGTACATACATTATCAAAACCGTATTCAGGAATATAGATAAAAGTAGGGACAGTGGGTGAACAGAGAATCTTGGTCTGAGGATTCATGGCTTTATGTGTGATCTTCAGCTTACAAATGAAGTGTTGTCTCTGGCCTGACTTCTGCTATTAGGCAGAAGTAATTAGATGTCATGTAGCAGTGCTCTCGTTACTGCAGGATCAAGTTTCCATGCATCCCCTGTCTACTCATCACTTTTTATCTGGTGTTTATAAATGCCACACTCTGAACCAGTGCTGTGCAGGATCAAGCTCATCAACTGTATCAACATGCCACAAAAAACTCACAGGAGTGGCATACGTGCTCTGTATATTGATATGAAGAACTATGTTCATCTTCCTCAAATTTACAAGCATATTTTCTTTCCGAACCTACCACATAATCATTGTATACCTGTGTGTTAGAATTTCTCCTATTGCAAAATAAATCAGAGTAACTTTCTGTTCCATTTATAGTTTAAAGTGGCAGGAGTGGAATGTAGACCAAAAATGAATTTCTGTGATCTACCTGAATACTGCAATGGGACATACCCATACTGCCCAGATGATGTATATATCATGAATGGCTACCCATGTAACAACATGAAAGAATATTGCTATAGTGGGGTTTGCCAGAATCTTGATTCACAGTGTGAATCTATCTACGGACAAGGTATTTTTAAACTGTTTGTCTGTGTAACAGAATTCATATTAATAGGAAAAATTCACTCAGATGCTCTGTCTTGGACTTAGGATTTAAATAGCCATTGTGGATTATTTGTTTTTATTGAATATATTAGTTGTTAAAAATTTGATATTGTTCTTTTAGGGGCAAGAAAAGCACCTGATATTTGTTTTGAAGTAGCCAACTTGAAGGGAGATAGATTTGGAAACTGTGGAATGTCAAGTGGAACGTACAATAAATGTCCCATTGAGTAAGTGACTAGCAGGTATAAATTGAATCTAATATTTCCTCCTGTCATTAATTCATATAAACAGTACCATAATGTAGAGTATATATTTATACAGATAATGCATACATGGTCCAGTACTTTGGCCTACCTGAGTTATTAAATTTACCTGCATTCATCTTCATTTTTTATTAGTCTGTTTTAAATTGATGAAAATAATTTCTTAAAACCAATTTAAACAATATGTATAAAACTCAACTTTACTTAAATGTTCTTTTGAAGGAACTGAACCAGATTCTCTCCTCTGAACCATCCCTTTTGTGCTGCTTAGGCCATGGAAAGGAGATATAATCTGTCAGTACTTGGCCATCTGACAGGTCCCTTGATGGATAGGAACTCTCAATGGCAGAAAGCTGACCCACCTAGTTCCTGCATCAACCACGCTCCCAGCACAGCACAGTGGGAGGGAGGGGATGTATCAGGCTGTGCTTCACTAATTCTCAGATGGCATATAGTCCCTAGATCAGCCTATGGTCCCCTAACTTAGATGGAAGAGGGGGCAGATCAGGCCACAGAATCAGGTAGCCATAAACAGCCGATCTTGGCACAGGAGAGAGTCTGGCCCATCATCACATGTATTTTTAAAATAGATGACCTACATCAGACCTTTCCTTGTAAAAAATAAAAAAACACATAGGAGGGCCAAAGGTATGCACTACACTGCATTATATAATTTTATAACCTGGGGTGTGACCCTGCTCTGAAGACAAACATATTAATCTCCCGAAGGGCTTTTCTGTGGTTCTCATCACTATAGAACTGAGCATATGGAATTGTAATTTGTTTTTCAAGGCTTATAACTTGGCCAAATTTGGGCAGATTTTCACAGGGAAGGCAAAAGGCACAACCCTGTCAGAAAGGCCACTCCCCTGCCAAATTTCAAGTTCCTGCTACAAAGCATGGAGCTGCTAAAACTGTTCAAATAAAAGCTTGCAGAAATTTTTTAACGCGGACAAAACAATATATTTTCCCCTAGCCTCATTCTTGGAAATGGCTTAATCCTTTTGTAAGAATTTTTCCAAAAATGTCAACCTGAGGCAACAACCAGCATGCAAAATTTCAGCCCAAATGGTTAAAGTCTGGCAAAGTTATAAGCACTTAAAACAGGTTCTTATGATGAGAAGTGTCGGACAACCTTAATAGGCCGTGCTACCGGCCTTGCCTATAGCAGGGGCATGTGTGTTTATATACCCATAGACAAACACATATATTATGGTGATATCCATCTGATAAATTGCCATATGCTAAAATACATTTATCAGGCACCATAAATCCTCTTTATCAACAGGACTCTCTCCACTAATGCATCTCCATAGGGATTATTTCTCGTATCCCAGGCTTTTGAGCAGCTTCTGTCAGATGCCATTTCTTTTTAAATAACCTGCAAGAGAAATGTTTCCTCTTTTCCCTCAAATGTGGAAATACCTTGTATACACACACGCACACAAAATTACATTGTGCCAAAGGCTCAGTCTTCAATATATATAAAATATGATACACACACACACATACACAAAAAAAGAGAAGGGAAAACTTCCTTAGAATATGAGATTTCCAGCAAGAGAAAATTATTGACTCATAGTGTAAATTGTGTGAATTTATTAATAAATAATATTTTTGTATTGAGTCTGTTTTCTCCCTGTTACCTTCTATTTGTATTTTATTCATTTATTACAGACATAGTCTATGTGGCAAACTTCAGTGTACATCTGTCAGTCTTGAAAATCTTCCTGCTTCTAGTGTTGTCAGCAATCAAGATGGTGTTTCATGTGTGACTTCTGACTTTGACCTAGGGTCAGATATCCCTGATCCTGCTCAAGTTCAAAAGGGAACTGCTTGTGGAAAAGGAAAGGTAAGGTAGATCACAGCAGTTATTGCAGAATGCATGACACTTACTGAAAAGTTCTCTTTTTAATACATCTTACTATAAGACCCTTAGCTTTCAAAAGCATTAAGCCCCATTTTAATTTTCCTCATAACCACATTGGCTCATGACTCTCAAAATACTTGTCTCATAAAGAGTGTCTGTGTGTACTATAACCTTTGATGTTCAGCAGGGAGAATCCCCTCAGACTTACAGGAATTGCCTTTTATTTGTCCCATGAAATTCCATTCAGATTTAACTGACATATGAATTGTTAAAAATTGCTGTTTCCCTTCTCTCCCTTGCACTCCGCAGGAAAATTTTGGCAGCATGACAAAATCAATAAAGAGGCAGGGCTCAGGCCACCACCGAAGCAGCAGCATCAGCAGCACACATTGCATTGGGAACACAGGGTTACAGTTGGAGCAGCTTTTTCCACTTCCTATTAGAGAGCCAGCTCACTTCCCCATCACCCCTAGACGCAGCAACCCATGTGCTCCCCAGTCAAACAGCTGTCTGCTATGGCCAGCATATGCTGTTGGAACAAGTTGTAGCACTCTGCTGCAATGCTGAACATTCAAGATTCACTGTGCTGATGGGAGTTTACCGTTGAACAATGTAGAATTTATTTGATCTTGTTCTAAAAAAAATGAAAATTACATACAAAATTATATACAAAATCTGCATTAAAAGAACATTGGTAAGATTGCCAAGTCAAACACTCAAAAGTTAGGAGACTCCAGATCTATGGTTCTCCACACGACCTTAATTCAGTCCCTTTGTGCATATATGCATTATGATACAAGCTTTAATGATGTGATCATATACTATTTTTTCACAGCACCGTGGCCTCAGTCAGTGCACTGGAGGGACACAAGGAGCAGAAATAGGGCTGTGTGAGCAACTGTAAATCTGGCATTTCCTAATTTTTGAGTGCTTAACTTTGCAGTTGAAGTAATGTTCTTCGTAGATTTTTTGTGTTTTATATGTATGTGTGTGCATGTGTGTGTCTATATATTGGTATAATAAATCATACTTAATGTTCATTTATATATACATACACACAGAGAAGTAGTATTTATTAGCTCTGTACCATAAAGCCTGCTGTTTGGTTTAACAAAGCTTTAAAATAAATAGTGATTCATATTCTGATTTCATTTCCATCAAAGTATGTCCTAGTGCATGAAAATGTGTGATAAATTAAACCAGAGTTCTAAAGAATCAAGTGTTTTTAGACAGCCTTGTTTCTCACCACTTACATTTTGCAGTATTACTGTTTTTATGTATATTATTTTATGTGTATAAAAATATTAGGGTAGTTGAAGTGCTCTTTTAAAATAGATATTTAATATTTTTCAGGCCTGTGTAGACTTTAAATGTGTTAATGCAAGTGAGCTTGGTTACAACTGCGATGTAATGCAGAAGTGTAATAATCGTGCTGTAAGTATATTGTTTTTGTTACATTAGGCTTCTAGAGATTATTGATAGGTGCAATAGATCTAAATAAATAAAATAAATAATGAAACATATGCTTAGTTTTTTCTAATCTGTACTAAAAGTCAAATTCATTATTTGTATCTATAGTTCCTGTTACCAATGCACTGTAAAACATTTATCACTAATGTGGATAGTACATTTAATATGAAATAGGCAAAGTAGATCCAATTACATTACTAGATGAGCTGTCCAATTTTGAAAGCAATGTAATTCTCTGCAGAGAAAATATAATGAATTATGTAATATTCCTGTGTGAAAAATCAGAACAGGATCCAGATATAGTAAAACGCAGAAGCTCTCCTTTGAAACAATGTTCTATGCAAGACAAATGAGAAAAGGGGCTAATTGCTGTAGAGGCTTTGCTGTCACAGGAGCCAGCAATATCACTCACAATGTATGGGAATGCCAATGGAGGAGAAAAAATGGTTGTGCCAAGATCCCTCCTTCAGCTATCCACCACTCTCTGTTTTCACACACAGTTCTTCATGTACAACTCTGAATATGATTTGTTCATTTGGCAGTTCTGATTTGTTCTAAATGAATGTACACGTTTAGGCTGCAATTCTACAAAGGGATCCATTAGCACAGCCCTTTGCAACCACATGGAGTCTCATTAACTTCAATTGGATTATCTGTGAGAGTCATTGTACTCTCAGGGGAGTAACCCTGAGGAGGTTCAGCTTCTTATACTACAACCAACCCTCACTCTGGGGTTGACCATAAATGTTGTAATGTTCCAAACTTTTCTAGGTACATGCTAGTACTACTTACATACCACTAGCACAGAAAGGTCTGAAGGCTGTAGCCTGAGGTGGCTTCCAAATAAAACACTTCATATGGCTGATAAAAAAGGAGTCTTTAGAAAAGAGTACAGCTACCATAGACACAAGATGTTATTCAATTTTATAAGTCTTTCATCTAAATAATCTATGGTGTTATGAGTGACAATTGTAAAGAAATTCATTTTGACTTGGAACCTAATGCCCCTTCAAGCATGGAATTTGGGCCCTGTTCCAAAACCAGTTGAAGTCAATGAGAGTCCTTTTATTGACTGCAGTGCACTTTGGGTCAGGCTCTTGGTTAACAATCCTGAATGGAACCCTTCTTTTTTCCCATCTCTCAAATGGAATATGGAGAATTAAATAATATAAATGCAAAAATGACATTTCAGTGCTACGAAACATTTATTTAATTGTGGTATCTTGTGTGGTCACAGGTGTGTAACAACAATGGGAATTGTCACTGCAATCCTGGATGGGCTCCTCCTTTCTGTGATAAATCAGGTTATGGTGGCAGTATTGACAGTGGTCCAACTCATATAGGTAGGATACTGAAGCTCTTTCAGTTTGACTGTAATGTCTGATAAAATAAACTACTACTTACTTTCGTCTCCTTTTTATTTATATTATGGTAGCACATAGGAGCCCCAGCCATGGACCAGGACCCCAGAGGATGGACAAAATCCTCTGCTGGCTTAACACCACTGACTTAAAGGGAGTTATCTGCAGTGTACTTATAGCTGTGCCAGTGCCAGGATATTAGAGAGATAAGGTGGGATTTAGTCCTGCTCACAGTCTGGCCCCAACATTTATATTGTGTAAGGTTGTACTACAAAACAAATCTGATATTTTTTTCTTAAAAAAATATTCTAATTGTTTAGAAATCATTATTTTTATAAAAACACAAAAATAAATATATTATTACAAAAACAGATACAAGTCTGTTTACATCACAAAAGTTCAAGTTGATTACAGCTGTGGGCTAAACCCTGTGATCCTTATTCACTTAAAGAATTGGTAGGATCATGCATGTGAATAAAGTGTTCAGGATTTGATCCACCCATCTAAGTAAATTTAGGAAATCCTGATAAGCAGAATGGGCCAAATCCTGCTTGCTTTTTATATATACCATAGAGCATGTTACACACTTTTTTATTTTTTATATAAAAATCTAATTGATCCATAACTTTATAAAAAACCTTTTATCTGTTACTGAATTCTTATTTTGAAAAGAAAAACAACCTACTTTTGATTTGTCAGTGTGCTGAAGAAAATATGTTGAATCACGGAAATACTGAAAATTGGGATGTGCAGGCAAATAATTTTTTTTTAAAGGTGAAATTGTGTTTTTCCGTTTCAGGGATCTTGAAAAAATAAACATTGTGGAAAAAGATAGAAAAGTTAGCACATTACTTTCATTTCTTTAAAAAAAAAAAAAAAAAGGAAGCAGATCCTGGGGCCAGATCCTGCTTGTCTGATTTATACTATTAGTTACATTGACTTAATTGGAGCTACTTGTATGTGTATGCTGGTCAGAATTTTATCTATGATTACTTAAAGGTTTTAGCATTCTCAACAAGAAGGTTCATATAGCAGCAAAATGTTTGCATAATGAAGTTAAACAAAATGATTAGCTCATGCTGTTTGCATTGCTTTTTTCTAGATACATCACTTAGAGATGGCTTGCTTGTATTTTTCCTGCTTGTGCTTCCAGTGTTGATTGCAGTCGTAATAGCATTTATCAAGAGAGATGCAATAAAGAGAAGGTTTTGCCGGAAAAGTAGAAGACGATACAGGTGTCAAAAATTTATTTTCATCACAACCAATGTCATTCTTGTCACAATAGAGTATTTTATCACTTGATATATCATGTTCTAATGCTACTCAGAGCAGGTCTTAATGTCACCAAGTATTATAAAGCCAGACCCCTGTGATGACTTTGTCTGTACTTGGGCTCCCACCACTTCTACCACCAGTAGAATTGTCCTGGTGTTATCAACAGTAAGAAATAGTTGTCAAAATACCCAGTCTAACCACAGCCTAAAGGGAGAATCTGCCTAAGTATTTATTGATTTTCTCTAGATTTGATGCTCATGATTGGACGATGCAAGATTCACAGGGTAATGAAATGTCATCTCTGTAAATTAAATTAGAAAGAGAGATCTGTAGCTTCTATGTTTTGTCATGTAAGGATGGTATCATGTCTTTCTTTAAGTGCAGCTAGTCACAAATGTACCTCACTATAGCTGTCTGTGTTATAAAATCTTCCAGCTGGGGAAACTCTATCCCCCATTGCTTCTTACTTCTTTAGAATATTAATAAACTAATTCTGGGTTTTGACAGATAAAAAGTACAGATACAGTCCATTTCTTTTCTGGAATAGGTTGGAAAAATTACTACATTTTGAAAAAAGTAAGTATAGGACTGGTGGTAGGATGCACTAAATTAGTTGCAGTGAAGAAGTAAAGGGAGATTATATCAACATTTGAAGGTCTAATTTGAGGGTCTGTTAAAGTTTGAAAAAGGGGGAGTGGATTCAGTGTTATTGTAAATAAGGTGACATTTCATCCTCTGGTCTTTAGGGGAACTTAAAAGTTAATACTGTATTCCATTGTGTTATTGATTAGATCATAGGCATTGCTTCAGATTTGCCATATTTACATCCTCTGAAACTGCTGTTTAGCTGGAGGCAGTTTTCTGTAAGGCTGGGTTACAGTGCAGTGGTTCAGAAAGCCAATGTTAGTTTCGGAAGATGATCTGTACAATGGAAAAAGCTAGAAATTTAGGCTCTGATCCTGTAATTGATAGTGTGTGAGTGGACTGTGCATGTGCAGGCACCATTTAAATCAGTGTGCATTATCAGGTGCAGTATTGGAACTTTCTTTTTTTTTAATTAATCCTTTTCTGTGAGAAACAAATTATGCAGAAAACCCTAAAACTGTGAAATACATATATATATGAAATCCACACTTGTAAATTCTGTATCTCCAAATAAAGATTAAAAAGAAAAGAAACACTGGGCCAGAAGTTGCCCTAAATTATGTTCATGTAGTTCTACACTTTTGGCCTCCCGATGCATTTGTGTTTTTCTCAGGCAGCAAAGTTTGTGGCTATTTAGGAACCTTTTTGTTTTAATTAAACTGTTCAGTTCCTCTCCTCTACTCACTTCTCAAGTATTATTTTCTAATATATATTGTATTCATTTATTGTCATATTTGTATTAAGTAGCACCTGGAGGCACCCGTGGTACTAAGCTTTATATAAACATACAGTAGGAGATAGTCCCTGCCCTGAAGATCTTACAGACAAAATAGACAATTCAGATAAAGGGTGGTAAGGGAAATAGAGACACAGAGAAGTAAATGACTTGTCCAAGGTCATACAGTGACAGAACCAGACAAAGAACCCTGATCTCCAAACCCCTGATCAGTGCCCTAGCTACTGGGCCATACTGTTCCTTAAATGTAATTAATCTAGATTTATATTAATTTTTCTGATTATGTGAATTTTATTCTAGGGATAACAATACACAGCAACCAAAGCAAAATAATGAACCTAACCAGAATAACGCTATAAATAATCAGGTAAGACAATGTATGATCGTACTCTCTCCTGTTGAATAAATTTCACTGATGACTAAGTTACAGTACTTTAGAAATCATGGTGCATTTTTGGACTTCTGTGTGGTCTGACTTTGTGATATAATAGATTAGAGCCATACGAATATCACAGGGCATTTGAAGGGATTTACACCATTTTACTCAGGATTTAGGCCTATTTTATTATTGTTTAGGTTAGGATGAGAGATTCTACCACCCACTGGCCTCATGATCCTCCATTCAGCAAAGGGAAGCTGGGCAACAGTCAGTAGTGCTCTTAGTACTGACCAGAGGTGCTTCCTTCTCACAGGAACTGAACATCAGTCTGCAGAGCTCTTGTCTAGCCCAAATAATGCTGGACCTAAACTGTGATCCACATAGAGCAATTGCCAAGCCAGCCCATAGGTCCATTTCTGGCAAAAATAAATAAGAAATGCTAAGCAAATATGAAGAATTTGCAGAGAAAATGAAAAAAAAAGCACTGAAACTTTCATGGATTTTAAAATTAGGGAATAAAGCAAAATACTAGAAGTCTGACCTTGCTAAAGAAACCTCTTTAAAAATAAACTAAATTAATAGGAAAGTATGTTTGGAACACACAGTTTTGTTTTCTCTTTCCCATCTCCCTGGCACACTATCCATTAAAAAAAAAAAAAAAGCTGGTGTCATTTTGAAATGTTTGTGTTGTTTTATAGTCATGATGTTGAGGACTTGCCCCTAATGCCTTTAAGTTTTGTGTCTGCTGTCTTCAGTGTTTTCCCCAAATCCCTCTCTATTCTTTTCTTTATTCCTGTTTTTTGTCTTTTCTCTCATTCTAATTTCTCTTTCCTTTTTCTGTGTTCCGTTCTCTCGTTATTTAATAGTAAATTGTTTATAGAGCTTTGCAAATATTAACTTTTTACTTCTCATAACACTCCAGTGCAGTATTTAAGTGAGTGTAATCCCATTTTACAAATAGAGAAACTGAGCCATGGAGAAGGTTAAGTAAGTTGCCCAGCATCACTCAGGAAATCTGGGGTAGATGTCAGAATAGAACCCAGATTTCCTGGCTCCCAATCCTGTGGTCACGCCACAGGCCCCTACTCCTCATACTTCTCACACAAAGGCTTTTAATCTCTTCAATTCCATGCTTTTCATTTCCCAGACATCCTTCTGCTGCCCCTTCTTATAATTTTTTCAAAGTGCCTTGGGGATGAGCAGATAATCTGACCCCGACATACATACGTATTTTCCCTGTAGATCAGCATGAAAATGGCAGACTGCCACTTTCTAATGGCAATTGCTACACACTCAGTCATAAAGTAATAGTTTGTAGAGGAGAAAGAAAGTTCTGGAGCTGAAGCACAGTAGATCTGGCTCCTATTCCCAGCAGTGCCACAATCTTGGTGTGAGACCCTGGGCCTCAGTTTTCTCATCTGTATAATAGCGATGATAATGCTTTCCTACCTCACAGGAAATTTGAGAGGTTTGATAAATTATTTGCAAAGTGCTTTGAGATCCTTAGATACTTCTATAGAAATTCAAAGTATTATTAAATGCTAAACTCTTAAAACTGAAAAGGATTTGTCATAATTTTTGAGGTATTTTGTCAAAAAATGGTATTAAGTATTCTGCTATTTTTGACAAATGTATATCGTGTTCTCAGTTAAAGATTTACAATAGTATATTTATAATTTTATTTATTAATAATTAATAATTAGCCACATGTGTTTTTTCAAAGATATGTCTAGTGTTAATGGGTTTTTTGTAACTTCTTTTTATTTCATACTTGTTGCTCTCTTTTCCAGCCTGCAACAACCAATTCTGGGATTTTTACAATATCGCATTTTCCTGCTCCAAGGTTTGTAATTTTAAATTTTTTTACTGTATTTTTTAAAAATGTGTTCATTGCATTATCATCGCAAACAAAGGGCGTAAAGCAGGTAGTAAATCCGGCACACTCCTAGCTCTCTTCTCTAGTGGCTTTTGTACAGTGTTTTGTACATTGTAAAATAGGCAATATTTAGTGTTTATATATTTGCAGAGAAGTTTTCAAAAATCTTTTCTTGTCGTCATTCTGAAGTCACACAATGCTATCAAGATGGCCCTATACTAGAGAGACATTTTTCTTCATTAAGAAGCAAATCCAGCCTGCTATCAAGGATGCATAGATAACAGCACCAGTGTTTCTGTTATGCAAGGTGGGGAGCTGATGACATGGGTCCATGTAGGGAATGTGCATCTCCTGGACTGTGCCATGTGTAGCTCCCTGTGAACTTCCTGTAATAGAACACTAAACTGTATTATACTATTCCACTGCTAAGTGGCATTGTTTGTAAAATATCTTATTTAAATAAACCTCGGACCATTGTCAGAGCATTAAAGGATCTTGTGATGAACGTATCTGGTATGTATTAGCAAGCTCTGTATTCAGTCCATATCTAGTACAGGAACATGACACTTTCTGCATAGCAAAATAGAGACTGGAATGTTCAAAAGATAACCTGACCCAAGGATCCTCACAGGGGAAAGAGAACACGCTGCAGAGGTTACTCAAGCCATTGGAGTGGCTGCTGAACTTTTCTGTGGCCTGGAGGGAAAGTGGGAAGGATTCCTGCCCACTGTGCATCTGGTATGTGCCCAGCCCAGCTACCTGGGCCATCCTACTCGTATTTCCATTAGCCTAATTCTCTGAGTGGTCTTAAATGACTGACTCATCACATCAATGCATTCTTTCGCAGTCTGGGTAGCTACAAAACACTTCTGTTACTGACTCTTATTCCTTAATACCTTACTGTGTTATAGCCGTCCTCGAGGATACGTCATCAAAGAACTGTCATCCAGAGTTTTCTGTAATTGTGGGAATTGTTTGCTCAACACTAAATGCATGTGGATGTACAAATTCCCTTGCAAGTTGTAATTTGTTTAAATGCCTTACAAACCAAACTAGAGGCTGCAGACTGATTATTGTGGTAGGTGTCTGATATTAGCCTTATGAAAGATGAAATCATATGCAGCCACCTCAGCATTCAAAAGAAGTGCAAAAATAAACAGAGTTCTTGAGAAAAAAAATGAGCAACTGTTTTTAAAAAGCATTTGAGGTAATATTGTAGGGGGCGGGAATGCTGAAGCAGTACTGTTTAAAAACCTCTCAAAACAGTTCCTCTTCCATCTTTACATATCAGTATATTAATATCTTCATTGGTGCTAAATGCTTTTTACTGGTTTCTACAGTAGAGAATTATGAAATATTGTTGTATCTTCAGCCTTATATCAGTCACAAATGCTGCCACTGACAACCTCTTCGGAATGAGAATGTACATGGCTGCATCATTGTGGAGAAAAATGTACCATCAAATTTTCTGAAATTTCCAGTAGAAAGTTGGTCCTGAAATAACACACAATTCCAGAAAAGAAAACGTTAATAACTACCATGTGGGGCCTGCTTCCACTGAAGTTAATAAAAGAATTGGTTCCATATCTAAGCTCAAGATACTCCAGCTTTTTGGATTATTATCACTTATAGCAAAGTGTACTTAGTACTTCAGAAACCAAGATGCAATCAAAGACCTTAGGTCTGAAGTATTTCTCTGTGCCTATGTTACAACTCTTATCTTTTGTTTGTCTTTTCTATTTAGATGGTAAGCTTTTCAGGGAAGAGACTGTCTCTTATTATGTGTATATGCAGTGTCTAGCACAATGGGGCTGCGATCTCACAAAGCCTGTTAAGTGCTACCATAATATTAATAGTAAATAATTACTAACATTAAAAATATTTTAAAATGGGAGATTCAACACCTTTGTAACAGGCACTTGAGAAATAACATGGATAGGTAGATTTCCTGATACTAATGATCTTTCTCAGCTCCTGAAATATGGTATCAAACATGCACTAAAAGTATTTTTCACTCTTTAGGCAGCCAATACAAAATCAGTTTCCTGCAGCTCCTTCAAGATCTCATCAGCGACCACCTGTCCCGCCCAGACCTGTTGTCTGAAAGCCATTTTTAGGACTCCTCACAAAGTCAGACAAATGCCTTGAGTAAACTGAAAGAAAATGTGGCAAAGGTAAATTAATGACGTATTTTAGAATTGTTATTTTTTTCTTTGTTATATGAAAGTCTCAATCTTGCAGTCCTAGGAGTCAGAACTACCTTTGAAACATAATAGACTGTTTCATCAGAAAAGGCATGATGCTGAGGGGAGATGAACACCTACCATTCAACTTCAGTGGAAGTTACAGGTGCCCAGCTCCTCCCAGGCCTTTTTTATCAGAAGGCATAAGAGCCCAACTCTTACCTACAATATGTACAAATAATCATCTCTTCCACAACCTAGACTTTGAGGCACAGCACAAAACTAGCAGCCAGGGAGAGGGGGAGTTTAAGATGGATTTAACTCACCTTCCTAATCCTAAGCCTCTCTGAGGCTCTTGTGTAACTCAGGCAGCTCTGGAGGCCTAAGTTACAACTTCATTGGGCTGTCTGGTGGGAAGCGGCACTGCCTGGCATCTCTGCAGGACCACTGTGCTGGAGCCCTACCTCACCACTCTCTTATGCTAGGGTCTGTGAAGAGATCCTTGGGAGGCAGCATTACGGCTGTCTTCTGAGTGCCTCAGAACCAAGGCTTTTAGGGCTCTTTTATGCCACTTCAGCCCTTTTACACAATGTCCTGGGGCTGGAGGAGTGGTGATACTTATTAGCAATATTACATTTAAACTCAACTATTACAAATAAACAAAAGAATTCTGGTGAAGAGAATATGGGTATAAATAATGAATGTAGCCTCAGCAATAATTTTTACTTTATTACACATATCCTTGTGTACTACCTTATTTACTATACATTTCAGGAAAAAGACTAGCTGCTTAACTACATATTAAATGTTTACTGGTAATTACAATCTGAGATTTCTAGGAATACATCAGCTCTGAAATGAACACATTATAGTCTTGTAGTTCTAAATGTGACACTATCAGCAAGGAGTTTTAATTTAAAAGAAAATAACTAAAATTGCACAGAGTTTGGCAAAATGGACAACTAATGGAATGAGGGCATGGCGAATCTATTACATATATCCAGGGTGAAAACACAGTGGAAAAAGAGAAAATATTAAAGGTGATTCAAAGTGATAAAATAAAATTAACCAAAGGACACTTCAGGCTAAATATCAGGAAGATTTCCCAGTTGTGGGCCATATCCCTCCCTCCTAAGTCTGTGTGAGACACCTAAGGTGAAGGAAAGCTCCGTAAGAACTGAGTTTGTTCTGTTCTTCTCAGAGGAATTTCCAATAAGGCTGGTGGGGAAACAATGTACATTTCTCTGATCCCTTTCCCCTCCCAACATGGATCTCACTGCTACCTGAGCTGCTTTCTGTGCTCACTCACCCCTCCCTAGGGAAGGGAGCACTATAGCAAAGACACTGTTTCACATAGAATGGTGAGATCTATGATTGTTGGGCCAGCTTCATGTGTGAATCTTGGGGGCATAAACTAACATCCTAAAATCTATTAACTTATGGATTTGTCTCCCAAAGGAACAGTGGAAACCCCTTTATTGTCATTTTACAATTGAACCAGACAATGAAACAGAAAATATACTGTAGAAAAACAAAACTCAGCACTGACAAGGAGATGGATTAGATGACCTAAGTCTCTTCCATTTGTAATTTCTCAGTCTGTGGAAGGCAACCATTATTTTTAGTTATATTAAATGTGTGCCCATTGTTAACCTATTGCTTATTGTTTTAATAATAATAGTATGACATGCTGGCAGTATCTTAGTACAAGTTGTTAATGTTAGCATATTTAATAGTACCTTTATTTTTTGAATATAAGAAATATAAAAGTTGTCAATTTTGTACTCTAGTAGTGTATATACATCAGGAATCAGTAAATCATTTGCACTGGTACTTCTGATACGGAAAAAAATGTTTTCTGAAAACTAGCATTGTAATTTATTTCAAACTAAGTCTGGATAAAAACTGATGGTTTATACCTATATTGGTTGTAATAGCATTCACACATCTAATTTATTATGGAAATACTATCCAGTGTTTCAAGGAGCATTTTGTTATTCCCACCTTGTTAAGTGAATTGACTCAAGCAATAGAGTCAGAGTGTATCTCTTAGAATTTCAGTAACCTCCATATTAAACAAAAATAAAAATGTATCCTATTATCCATGTACATTAATAAAATAGTGTATGAAGTAAAATAGAAGTATACTTTTAAAATCACAGAAGGAAATGTTTGTTCTTGGTTTTGTTTTAAAAGTATTAAAGTTCTGTGAAAGTGTGTTTTTTCTGTCAAAATACCTAGGGATGCACATTTTGCATGGATAAAATCACTATATATGGGCTCCAACCAAAATCCTTCACCCAAAGACTACAAATGTATTGTTCAAGATACTCTGTGGTACTGACAGAAGAATTTTTCTCTATAGCATCTTATTTTAAGTGCTTGAGTATTGTAAATCAATACTTGTGAAACATGTAACATTAAAAAGTAAAAATATTTACATATCTATAATTTTCTGAGTATATGTAGGTACTTTTTTTTAATATATTCTAATTGCAACAACTTCTGGAAAATGAATTAATGGTAAGATAATTTATTTAAGAGCATTTGTTTGAAAATATGTTTCCAAGATATATAATAATGTTTCACAGATTTTTTTTTTTTTTTTTTTTACTGAAGTGGTTAAGAAAAAGGTGCAGTAGGGGGACCACTACTGCCATCTACCTGTGGTAATTCACAAATGAAATAAATGACTTTGGTATTAACCCACTTAATTTAGGAGATTTTTTATGTCCTAATAAGGAGAGGATGGAAACTACTCAAAATAGTTAAATCCCAAGCAGACTGCAAAGAGCTACAAAAGGATCTCTCAAAACTGGGTGACTGGGCAACAAAATGGCAGATGAAATTCAGTGCTGATAAATGCAAAGTAATGCACATTGGAAAACATAAAATTATGGTGTCTAAATTAGCTGTTACCACTCAAGAAAGAGATCTTGGAGTCATTTTGGATAGTTCTCTGAAACCATCCACTCAATGTGCTGCAGCAGTCAAAAAGGCAAACAGAATGTTGGGAATCGTTAAGAAAGGGATAGGCAATAAGATATAGAAGCAATATATTTTCTATAAATCCATGCTATGCCCACATCTTGAATACTGCGTGCAGATGTGGTAGCCCCATTTTGAAAAAGATATATTGGAATTGGAAAAGGTTCAGAAAAGGGCAACAAAAATTATTAGCAAAAAGAAAAGGAAAAAACTTGTGGCACCTTAGAGACTAACAAATTTATCTGAGCATAAGCTTTCGTGAGCTACAGCTCACTTCATCGGATGTAGCTCACGAAAGCTTATGCTCAAATAAATTTGCTAGTCTCTAAGGTGCCACAAGTCCTCCTTTTCTTTTTGTGGATACAGACTAACACGGCTGCTACTCTGAAACCTGTCAAAAATGATTAGGGGTATGGAATGGCTTCCATGTGAGGAAAGCTGAATAATACTGGGACTTTTCAGCTTGGAAAAGAGGCAACTAAGGGGGGATATGATTGAGGTCTATAAAATCATGACTGCTGCTGAGAAAGTAAATAAGGAAGTGTTGTTTACTCCTCCTCATAACACAAGAACTAAAGATCACCAAATGAAATTAATAGGCAGCAGGTTTAAAACAAACAAAAGGAAGTATTTTTTCACACAACACACAGTCAACCTGTGGAACTCTTTGTCAGAGGATCTTGTGAAGGCCAAGACTATAACAGGGCTAAAAAAAGAACTAGATAAATTCATGGAGGATAGGTCCATCAATGGCTATTACCCAGAATGGCCAGGGATGGGGCTCCTACCCTCTCTTTGTCAGAAGCTTGGAATCAGCAACAGAGGATGGATCACTTTATGATTACCTGTTCTGTTCATTCCCTCTGGGGCACCTGGCACTGGCCACTGTCGGAAGACAGGATACTGGGCTAGATGGACCTTTGGGATGACCCAATATGGCCATTCTTTTGTTAACTTCAGTCAAGTTCTAATGTAAACTAGAATACGCCTAAAAACATTTAACTCATTTTTTTGGAGACTGACTAGATCTCAGGTTTTAAAAACATGTGGACAATAATTTCACCACTTATAAAAATACCATCCGTGAAAATACCGTACTTGGTATTTTGTAGACATAGTAACATTAGATGTATCTATTCATTGTAGAGGCCACATAGTGAGTCAATCTGACTAAGCAGAGGAGGGCAGTTAGGTCTGGTCAGTTCTAATTTTGGCTCTGCAGACATTTTGGGATCTTAACCAAGGGCCCAGATCCTGCAAGCTGACCCGACTAACGCAGTCCCCTATCCCCACAGTTTCACCCACACGCGTGGAGCACCATGTCTGTGCAGGGCTCCATCAACACAGCTAAGTTTGCGGGCTCGGGATCCATGTCAGGTAAGGCAAAACCTGCTCTCAGTCTGATAAGTAGCCTCATTCACTTCAGGAAAACTACAAAGGTCAATCCGTAATGTGGATCTCTCTGTACTTGGTTTCCACCCCCTTTGGCTTACCATAGCGGTTTCACCAGGGTGTTCTGAGAAGCGGTGTGAGACGTAAAGTGCTGGGGAAGCACTGAAAGGTTTGCCAGGAAGCTCCCATTGCACGGCAAGGGCTATTTTCGCCTCCAGCTGCACAAACCAAGGAGACCGATCGATGGAAAGGAGACCTTCATACAGCTGAAAAATCCAACAGCGGCCGGGTCTGGGAGATGGGGCAGCCCGCGAGGCGAGGCTGGGCCACCTGCCGGCAGGGCAGCCGCTTCCCCACTGGGCCCCTGCAGCCCCGAGACTCCCCCCAGGCGGGGGCGTTTCACCCCCGTTCTTCCCCACGGCCTTGAACGGGGAGCAGAGGGACGAGAACCCCGCACAGGCGCAGCGGCCTCCCGAATGTCTGCACGGGCATGACGATGGGCCCAGCCCCGGCCCATGGGATGGGAAACTGGCGACACTGCGCGTGCGCGTCTAGGCAACACACTTGCAAGCGCGCATGCGTGTTTTTGAAAGGGCGGCGTGCCAGGCGCTGACAACGGCACGCGCAAGGGGCCGCGCGCCACTCCGAGTCTTCGCCTCCCGACACGGAGCCGCTCGCTGTCAGTTGCCCCGCCCCGATGGAGGCTGCCGGGACCCGGCGGCTGGGCGTGTGCATCTTGTGCGGGCTGCCGGCAGCGGGCAAGTCCACTCTGGCGCGGGCGCTGAAACACAGCCTGCAACGCCGCGGGGACCCAGGCTGCGACTGCGCCCTCCTGACCTACGATGACCTCATTCCGCAGGAGGCCTTCAGCCAACCAGAGACAGAAGTGGGGCTCGTAGAACAACACCCATTGGTCAGTACAGATTTTGCCCTTCCTATTGGTTAGCGTAGATTGACCTCCCCTTTATTGGCCTGCGCTGCTCTGCGCAGCTGTGGAACCTTTTCAGTGCTAACTGCGCTGGCCGCGGGCAGTTGTCTGCCACGCCCCTCCTCGGGCTTGAGCGAGTGGCGGCACGTGCGCTGGCCTTGCTCCACTCAGGGCGGGCTGTGTCCCGGGCACTGCCCCTCCCCAGTGCTGAGGGCGGAGCTGACCCCGCCCCGTGACCGGCACTGCCCCTCCCCAGTGCTGAGGGCGGAGCTGACCCGCCCCTCCCCAGTGCTGAGGGCGGAGCTGACCCCGCCCCGTGACCGGCACTGCCCCTCCCCAGTGCTGAGGGCGGAGCTGACTCGCCCCTCCCCAGTGTTGAGGGCGGAGCTGACCCCGCCCCTCCCCAGTGCTGAGGGCGGAGCTGACCCGCCCCTCCCCAGTGTTGAGGGCGGAGCTGACCCCGCCCCTCCCCAGTGTTGAGGGCGGAGCTGACCCCGCCCCTCCCCAGTGCTGAGGGCGGAGCTGACCCCGCCCCTCCCCAGTGTGAGGGCGGAGCTGACCCCACCCCTCCCCAGTGTTGAGGGCGGAGCTGACCCCACCCCTCCCCAGTGTTGAGGGCGGAGCTGACCCGCCCCTCCCCAGTGCTGAGGGCGGAGCTGACCCCGCCCCTCCCCAGTGCTGAGGGCGGAGCTGACCCCGCCCCTCCCCAGTGCTGAGGGCGGAGCTGACCCCGCCCCTCCCCAGTGTGAGGGCGGAGCTGACCCCGCCCCGTGGCCGGGCACTGCCCCTCCCCAGTGCTGAGGGCGGAGCTGACCCCGCCCCGTGGCCGGGCACTGCCCCTCCCCAGTGCTGAGGGCAGGGTTGCCTCCCTGTATGGTCCCTCCTCGTCTTCCCCCAAATGCAGACTGTATCCCAGGCACTGCTTCTGTACTGTCTAAGGCAGTGTTATTTTCAACCCACAAGTGCCACTTTGTGGGCACTCCCCCTCTTCTTCCTCAGAAGGCCGCTTGTTCTTCCTGATACCTCTGAACTCAACGTGGGCGACACACGCACGAGGCCATTGTGTCTGTTCCCATCCCACAGCTGAGCCTGGGAATTTCTGCCCCAACTGGGGGGGGTTTCTTCTGGGGGAAGCTAGTGGGGAAGGTGACCCAAGGGCAGAGCTTTAAAAGTGGTCCTACCTTCCCCCAGCCAAGGCCAAATCCTGAGAGAGGCCGAGCATATGCAATTTATATTGAAATCAAAGGACATTGTGAGCACTTGGCACAGGCCCTGCAGCCCAATACCATCTCTTCGTTCAGCTCTTCACTTCTGACCATTTCTCGCATTTCCACTCTGTTTTGCCTCTCTTTCTGCCTTTCCCTGCAGAGTACACCCAGACCCCAACTGCTATGGGAGGGGACGATAATCAATTACTTTAGACACAGAGGGACCACAATTGTCGCTGCCTAGCAGCTCTCATTTTAGCTAAGTGTTTATTTCCTAAACACAAGAGCAAAGAAATTCAGCGGTAATGTCAAAATTCTACCCAAACCTCACTCTGGAGTCAAAATATTGAGGTATGAGCCAGTGTTAAATCTGCTGCCATATGTTAAGTATGAGTGAATTAAAGACAGCAACAAGAGGCCTCCTTCCTTTGAAGTACATGAAAATGTTGCCATGTAGGTATGGTCCCAAGTTCTCTGGCTGAAGAGCTTGTATCCAAACTGAAATAGATATAACACCTGACAACTGCACACCGTTCAAGCACAAAGACATAAAAATGTGTGAGGCGATCAACCTTTGGGCATTGATTCAGCAATGCAGTTAAGCACATGCTTAAATCATTACTAAGCAAACGCATGTTAGCATATGCCTGATGTTAAACATGTGCTTAACATGTTGAACATGCCTGATATTAAACATGTGCTAAATAAGGGCTTTTGCCACAAAGGTGGCCATCGGGGAGGAAAAGTGATAGACTTATATGGAATTGGAAGGCTATGGTGTGGGTAGTAGGCAGCATGAAAGAAAGTGGAAGGCTGAAGAAGAAAGGAGTCACAAGAACCGTCATAAGGGAGAACTGGAAGGAACATGAGAAGCGTAGGGGGCGGGAGTTAGTATTTGTTAAATTAAACGTTAATATTAAATGTGAAATACTTTGTTTTTTTCATAGCTGTCTTGCTGGAAATTGTACCGACATGAACTGTTAAAGTACCTTGAACACTTCTTACATGCTCTTATTAATGGAGATCATTTATGTGCTCCAACAAACAGAACTGAAGCAACATGGAAAAGTTTTGTTTCCTGTTTCAAAGAACAAGGATTAATATCTTCAGAAATACATGATGCCAAATCTTGTCATTACGTAATAAATACGACCACTTCCAGACCATTGTATTTTGTTTTGGATGACAACTTTTATTATCAAAGCATGAGATATGAAGTGTACCAGCTAGCTCGCAAATGTAATTTTTTTTGTCCTTTACATGCATTAATTCCAGGTTTTATAGCAAAATAATTATTCTGCAGATTCAGTGAACTTTAACTGCTTAGTCCATTTTGGAAGTTATTTAATGGTAAAATAAATTTTAAATGGCTAAAATATTTAAAAATAAAGCACAAGCTCGGACTAGTTTCTCTGCCTTATAGGCAACTTCTAGTTTATGTAAAATTTTTCTATTTCTCACACACATAGTTTTCAGAAAGCATTAGTTTAGCAGTTTAAAATTACTATTTTCTTCAAAGCAAATATTTTGTGAAATTCTTTTAGATTCACTGGGCTTCTGCCAGTTATTTTTAGACTGTCCACTTGAGTCCTGTTTACAGAGGAATTGTCTGAGAAGTCAGCCGTTACCTGATGAGACCATATGTCTAATGGCAAGAAAAATAGAAGTACCAAATCCTGAGAAAAACACGTGGGAACAAAATAGCCTAATTCTGAAAAATGTCGAATGCACTTCAGAAGATAAGTATGTTGTGATATTAAAGTTCTCCTTTATATACTCTGCTTTCATAGAGAGGCAAATAGCAATTTTCATGCACTACGTATGTGCAGTATGTTGTACACACTCTGTAGAGCTATTTCTGGAAGCCAGGGAATTGATATAAATGCATATTGCACATAGAAAATATTTTAAAACTTGAGAGCCTGAGCCAATAGTGGTTCTACAGCAGGCTTAAAAGGATGCTTGTGCCTATTTTTAACAAGGTTCTACACATGCATGCAAAAAATGCTTCTGCACAGTCTTCTTAAGCTTTGTTTTTGTTTATATTCTTGGGAAAACAGCTTTCTAATGAAGATGCTAAAACGCCTTTATTAAGAGCACAGCTAGATTTTAATATTTTTAAAACAATTGTAATTCTCTGCAGATTTCTACAGTGGGGATAGTGTTACAAACAAAAGTGAAAGGAATAAGATGGTGTCCTTTTCCTTACAAAATTATTCATGTTAATTGATTCTTATTAATTTTCCCAAATCACAATCCTTTAAGATATTTTTTCTCCACAAAGATCTGGACAGACACTGATGGCGCCATAGTTGAGGTCATGTTGAGATTTTCAGTTGAAACAGGGTTTCAATCTCTTTTTTGGGGATGAAAAGCAATGATCATCATAACCAAAATTACATAACTTCTTATTATGGTTAGGGCCCTACCAACTTCACAGTCCATTTTGGTCAATTTCATGGTCATGGGATTTTAAAAATCGTAAATTTCATGATTTCAGCTATTTAAATCTGAAATTTCAGGGTGTTGTACTTGTAGGGATCCTGACCCAAAAGGGAGTTTTGATGAGGTTGCAATGTTAAGTAGGGGGGATTGCGGTACTGCTACCCTTACTTCTGCTCTGCTGCTGCTGGAGGTGCTGCCTTCAGAGAAGGGCAGCTGAAGAGCAGCCCAGCTCTGAAGGCAGAGCCACTGCCAGCACAGAAGTAAGGGTGGCATGGTATGGTATTGCCACCCATGTGGGCGTCGGGTATCGTACGCAGGGGGAGTCTGTGCCTCCCACAACAGCCCACGCTCCGCCCCCAGATCCCCTCCCCACACTCTGCCCTGACCCTGGCTGGCTGGGGCTGGCCGGCCTATTTCCCACAGGGACTCGGGGCAGCTGGCACTGGGGCCACGCTACCTACCTGGCCCAGGGCTGGGGGTGCTTTGGCTGCACTGCCAGGCCACTCAGGGCTGGGGGTGGCCAGCTGGGGCTGGGAGCGGCCACCTGGGGCACCAGGTCTGAGGGCACTGTGGCTGCACCACCTGCGGCCCGGGTCCATGGTGGAGGTGCTCTGGGCTCCTACGGGGGAGGGGGCAGACAGGGAGGAGGAAAAGAGGGGGCTCAGGCACAAGGCGAGGGGCCGAGGGCTAGCCTCCCCCAATGGCCGGGTCATCTGCTGCCCATGGCCTCCCTTACTTCTGTGCTGCTGCTGGCGGGGCGCTGCCTTTGGAGCTGGGCACCTGGCCAACAGCCGCTGCTCTCCAGCTCCCCAGCTCTGAAGGCAGCGCAGACAGAAGGGTGACAGTTCCACAACTCTCCTAAAATGACCTGTGGCCTCCCTGCAACCCCCTGTTGGGTCAGGACCCCCAATTTGAGAAACGCTGGTCTCTCCTGTGAAATCTGTAGAGTGTAGGATAAAAGCACACAAAAGACCAGATTTCACGGTGGGAGACCAGATTTCATGGTCCA